GGGGAGAATGGAAGAATTCGGACCCCCCTTCGTGACGTCTCCAAAATTGCGTGTCGTCATCTAAGTAAAGTAATATGTCTACCGACGCCTTTCCATTTCGATTAAGTCGATTTCCTTTTCTGTTCCGTTCCTTTTCCTTCCGTAAACTATTAATAAACCAGGATATTGACCATGCGGCGCGAAACTGCGCGTTCTACGTGCCGTAACACCGGCTTGTACCGTAAATGGTACACGGCGCTACGACACAATTTTAGTAGGAAAGAAGAGAGGAAAAATGGGCAAATTTCGGAAATAACGGATGCTGCAAAGGGTTAAAAATGATGACGTAGTATACACCATAATGTTGTACGCTACCAAGTATTTAAAAATGGTCTTAATTTCGGTGGCGGAACCGTAAATTTTGGAGCAAAATGTGACGTTAAACGACAATGGCGGTTTGGGGGTGGAAGTTAAGCCAAGTTACGAGGTGTTAAAGGTCACCGTTTTAAAATTCCTATAGGGGATTAGTCAATTGTTCGATTGGAAATATTTAATTGTTTAATTTTAGCCAATTTCGTCTCATTTTATTGGTTCTTTTCCAATGACGAAGAGGACGTCTCCGGAGAATTTCAACAGATTTAAGACACGACATAGCTTTTATCACTCTTATTTTTCTTTAACTTGTCTCCGCCATTATTCTGTCCAACGAGAGAATAAAACTAGACAATATATATATATATTTGCTCTAAAACATTTATTTTTATTCTGTTTTTTTTGCAAAATATTTCTTAAAGTTTATGTTTTTTTTTAAAAAAAATAAACAATCCAAATGGAATTGTTTCTCGTATTTAGGTCACAGATTCGCTCCTTCGTAAGTAAATTACTTCTTGTATATTGTCGGAAAACAATTGTTTTCAATTGTTTAAAATATTCCTCTATGATCTAATTGAATCGTCGATAATTCTTTTTGTTTTATTTTTTATTTAAAATTGTTTTCATTCCAAAATTCCTTTAAAAAAAATCCCAATTGTGGAATACATCCAAGTGCGAAATGTTAAATAACACGTGTTCTCCCGTCATGTGCCATTAGTTAATATTTAAAAAAAAAAAAAAAAATTGTTTTGTTCGAGAATTATAACGATATTTTTAGTATTTAAACACAGTAGAAATTCGCCATTCGATTGTGACGTATTACACAAATACAGAAGCGGAGATATACACACGTAAACGTAATTAAAATACACAGCGTATTAACACTCGAACACATAGACGTGTATGTTAACACCACTCGCGTAAATGCGCGTAGAAGTAACTTATACATACAAACACAACGTTTACAAGTATACTACACACGAGCACGCACACGAAAAGGCCAAAAACACGTATCTAATAACAATACGTGGTGTTATAGATACACACGCGTACAGTTTTTAGTATCCTCATTTATTATTATTATTTTTTTTTTTTTTTAAATGTTTATTTAATGTACTGGGTTTTTGTATACAAATCGAAAACACAGCAATTGTTTTACTTCTATAGTAGTGTCGAGTAAAGTAACAAAGTCACACAAGAAATACGTAGAGGGTATTCGAGGGAGAAACACGAGATTATTATTATGCAAATGTATATATATATATATAAATCTTTGGGCAAACACCTCGTTGTTCCTCATTCTTTTTTTTTCCTCCCCTTGTGTTATTCTAGTGTCGGAAGGGCGGAAGGGAGTACAAATATTCGTTCGAATGTAATCTGCGGAAATATTTGCACCCCGCTAACTGAGTACACTTTAATTTTAGGAGAGTCACACACACAAACACAAGTCAGACGCGTTTGTTTGCTCTCTGATCGATTATCGTCACGTGATCGCCTGTTTAAAAAACGTCACAGCTAACAATTCGAAATACCGGTTACAGTCCGCGATTATTTTGCCGAAAAATTATAATTTCGAAACATTTTCATCCTATAATTTCCGAGAAACACGGCGAGAGGACAGACACACGAACGTACAAAGTAAAAAAGTAAACATTCCGACGTCCGAAGCTAGGAATTAATTTATTATAAGTATATCTTTAGGTTACTGTTACGACTCCCAAGCTAACTAGAGGTAAATAATTATGGTAATTTACTTACCTCTAATGACAGATTACTCGTAGTTTAGCTTTAATTATGACTTTAGAACTAACTACGATTAACTGGGAATTAACTAAAAGGTGAGTAAATTATTAAGTAATTTGGCTTAGAAGCGGCAAATCGGGAAATGAACCTTTTTGTGGCTCGTAGTTAGTTAGTATTCTACTCTTGCAGCTTTGTACTAAGTTTTAAAACTCTAATTAGAGGTAGAAGTAATATAATTTGGCTTAAATTTTGCAAGAATAGTGAGTTAACTCCCGTAAATTATTCTGTAACTCGCTGCTCTTCTAACTTCTATGCCAAAATACCCCCTATAACACTGTTGATTATTCCGTTTTATATGAATTCCATGTTGTACGAGTCACTTAGATTTTACAAATACGTGAGTCGTTCACAGCNTAATTTGTAGTTTATAAGATGCAAAAACAATCATTTTCCACCCAAAATTTCGAAGAAATCCTTTAATTAATTTAAAAAAATCAATCATAAAACCACCTTTCTTCCTCGTAACCAATGTTTTAAAGTAATTCTAAAAATTCCAATATTTAATTTATTATTCTTTTTATAAATATAATAAAGATATTAATTAATATAGAGAATAATTTTTAATTTCAAACTTAATTAACTAATATATTAAACGGTAGATTTTCATCAAGGATAACAGAAAATCGATAGGAAATTCTCTTATCTCTCGGCCCATTAATAATAATTAGAACCTCTTCAATGGAATCTAATGGACGATAAATTGGCTCTTTCTAGAGTTAATTAATTCATTTTTGTGACTCACGTCACAAACGGAAATTACAATTTCTACTTGTTAAAAAAAGATCACCCTATAAATATGTCTGTGGCACGTACGAAAAGTCAGTCCTCCTCGCTCCTATTTTCTTCACTCTTCTCCATCTTTACCACTCCATCCCAAAGATTCAAAGATTCTGAATGTCGATCCTCGTTTTCCCGATAGATCTCGATCTTTAATCCATATAATCCTCAGGATTCCGAATACCGATCCCGATCATCCCGAATTCTTAAGAGCGGTATTTATGAAGCGGGCTTTGAAAACAGGAACCAGTTGGACTCGATTCCTATGCCAAAATCTTTCATGGATCATGTAAAGGTACGTAAATATAACCGTAAAATAATAGAATTTAATTAAATTTTGTAGAAATTATTTAAATTTTTCGAGTAAAATAAGTTTTATTTCCAATTTCCAAAGTTGAAACGCATGCGAAATGGCGGATTTCTAACAACTTTGAAGGGTTTCTTTGTGTTAATTATTAAGATTTGAAGGTGAAAATGTGGATTTTTAATATTCTTCTCTTGTTATAATTTATATTTATAAAGTAGATGACCTTTTTTTTTTCAATTTGTGACCGGTTGATTCCGGTTTCTTACGACCTTATTCTATATTCAGCTTCCATTAACTATATATAGCGGCATATACTTCTATATATAAGTTATGTTTATTAAATTATATATTAAAGTATTTATAAAACTTAAAAAAAAGTATTTTATACAATTAAAATTAAGTTTTTTTTAAAAAAGAATTTCCTGATGATTTTAACATTCAAACCCTAAAATGTTAGAAATACGATCCAGTAAATTATTACTTTTTCATTTAATTTTTTAAATTAAAAGAAAAAAATCAAAATATTTAAATTTATTTTTAAATAAGAATAATATTTTATTATATAAATATTAAATTTTAAAATTTAAATAACCTTCCGAACTTCCTGTAGAGGGATCGAAAACAGGAAATGACGACATTACTAAAAGGCGATGACATCACTACGGACGTCATATCCCTTATCTATCATTACTTCAAATAACGAGACGATGGCTGATCACCAAAAGTGCCTTTTGTATAATTTATAATTTTAATCGTGTTTTATTGTTATTATTATTATTTTTAATCGAAAGTTTTATTTTTATAAAATTATTTTTTTTAATTTTAATTCGTGATGACGTAATTGCTTATTTAAATGTTTTGACTATAAAAATTATTTTATTTATTTATATTTCTCGTGTAAATTTAATTACTTTTTAAATTGCGATTTTTTTTTAATGAAAAAGTTTATTAAAATTATTTTTCGTTACGGAAGCGATTTATTGTTTTTTAAATAAGAGAAGGCCGGATTGTGCATTGTTAATTATAACCACTTGTGTCTTGATATTTCTATTTCTTTTTAGTAAAATCTTTTAAATGTTTAATTTTTATTTTATAAACATTTTTATCATTATTTTAAACTGTTTTATGACGTTTTTCTATTCGTAACCAACAGAAATTATGTTTAGTTTTATAAGTTATCGTTAGATGGCGGTAGTAAGTCTTTGAACTTAATTTAAAAAAATTCAAAATCACTGTTTATAAATTTTAAATGTTTTTTTTCCCTTCATTTATATTGATTAATATTTTTTAATTCTAAGAAATATTTTAAAAATTATCATATACGTTGTATTTTTTTTTAATTTTTTTACAATTTTATAATTAAATATGGCTATTTGTTTCTTTTAAAAATCTCTTTAAAATATTTATTTTTAAAATTATTATTATTTTTTTTAATTTTAAAACTTATTTTAAAATATATTTTTGTCTGTCTTATAAAAAAAATAAAAAATGACAAAATAAACCATTGTATGTTTTCTTGGCAATTAACTGCCACCATGAAGTAATTAAGTGCCAAAATATTTTTTGAATTATGTAATTGCTTACGTTGTTTTTATACATTTGTATTTTTTTTAAATAATTTTACTTTAAATTTTGTTAAAAATAAAAATATAATTTTAACCAAAATCAAGAAATTTGCTTTATAAATTAATTTTAAATAGTTCATATTTTCGTTACGAGATGGCGTGGTAGCGCGAAACTGGACAATCGATATCGTTCGAAAGAGTTATTTATTTAAAATAATAATAATAAATTCGGCGTTAGGCGAAGAATTTATTCCTAATTCCGGATTATTTTTCTATATTCGCCGTTGTTTTAAAATATAAGGATACTTTTTTTTATTATTATTATTTAATATTCGGGTACCGGGTGTTTTCGTCGGGGGGAGGCGAGACGAGAATCGAGTGGAGTTAACGTAGACGGCGAGTTTATCGACGAGAGTTTGGCATCCACCCACAGATCTCATCCACTGCAGAGGAAGGCTCAATAACGCGCTCGCAAAACCGGTAATGCGGTAAGTGTCTGGCCGGTGACGTCACCGAAGAACTCACCTAGGGAAAGAAGGCGGCGATAAATACGAAATGGGAAAAAAAATCACCGGTCATCTCGGAGATTTGACGCATCGATTAGGAAAACAGATCAGAGAAGCGATAAGTCTTGGGGCAGCGTCAAACCCGACGGTACAATGGACGAACCGCACTGTGACGTCAGAGGAGAAGACACTACGCAGTCTCGGGTTTTAGAATCGTTGCCTCGGTGAATGAAGACAACATAACGGTTACGTTAAGCGCTTCGGATGGTCGACGAGCAACGAGAAATATAGAGGAAGGTGGCGAGACAGGATGGCAGCAGAAGTCAGCTTCACCAAGAGGGCAGCTGCCGAACTGAGCAGGTGTTTCAACGGGTTGACAGTCAGGAGCAAATCGGGTACCACCGCCGGTAGAACACAGAACTACACGGTTAATCGAACGGACAGTTCGATCTTAGAAAGAAGAAGGGCACACAGAGCTTCCAGGATACGCGACTACCTGGCCACCATCGTCAAACCCTGCTCCACTCTGGACATGTGGCAGGATGCGGGATTCCTGGTCAGGTTGTTCTCTTACGTGGCCACACGAGACAGGCCCGTTCTGGCCCAGGTGTGCCGAGCGTGGAGGGATGTGGCCTACCAGCCCGGTTACTGGAAGGGCCTGATGCCCGTTTTCAACATGAGAGAGATCAGAAACTGCGGAGGAACGGACGGGCGCAAGAGGATGTACCATTCTATCGAGAGAAGGGGCCTGGAGGCCCTGTGCCTTTTCGGTACTAACGATAACGACGCTTATCACCTGGCGGCTCACTTCCCGGCTCAGTTCGTCAAACACGTGAGACATCTGTCTCTGAGATGCTCCAACGTGACGGACAAGGGTCTCGAGACTCTGTTGGCCACCCTTCAATTCGTCAATCAATTGGAGTTGTCGGGATGCAATGAGATCACGGACGCGGGATTCTGGGCAAGTCTCTCGCCCAGGATCGTATCCTTGACACTGACCGACTGCATCAACGTAGCGGACGACAGCGTTTCTGCCATTGCTCAGCTCTTACCTTCGTTGTGTGAACTCAATCTTCAGGCGTACCACGTGACAGATTCGGGTTTGGCCACGTTCGGGCCGAGACAGAGCAGTTCTCTGTCCGTCTTAAGACTCAAATCCTGCTGGGAGATAACAAATCACGGTGTGTTAAACGTGGTTCACGTATTGCCCAATTTGACTGTACTTTCTCTTTCGGGTTGTTCTAAGATAACGGACGATGGCATCGAGCTCTTAGCCGAAAACCTCAGACTCCTCCGTGTTCTCGACTTATCCTGGTGTCCCAGAATCACGGATTCTTCTCTAGAATACATAGCCTGTGACCTGACGTTGCTGGAAGAGCTAACTCTAGACAGGTGAGAACAAACCCTTTTCCGTTAATAACTCTGCTCGAGGACCATCTATGGTCGCACGCGCTTCTTCCTCCTCCCCTTATTTATGGTTATAAATTATATTAAAGTAACCTTCCGGGAGGGAGGAAAATGCCATTATTTTGAATCCTCCGAGGTTTAGTTGCCATAACAACCCTCTCGTCTCCTACGACTCTTCGATGGGTCAAGGTTCTTTTACCATTAATTCGACGGTAGGAATCAAATCCAATAACAACTGTCGTCATGGTAACAGATTGGCGGGGGTGGACGGACTATATTTAGAAACCAGAGGACCTGGATTCTCTTACCTGGATGCCGCCGTAACCGGATATAATTTGCATACGACGGATACGTCACAAATACATTTCTTATAAAATCACCACGGGGGTGCGGTGTATAGTATTTTTATTTTGTACCAGGGTACGAAATGTTTCGGTACGGGACACGTAGAAGCGTAGGAAATGCGCTTCGAAACGGGGTTTTGGTACAGTGCCAAAAATGCTCCAAAAAGAAAAAAAGAGAGATCATCGGTTACACTTACATCACTCGACTACTTCTAATTAATTACAATTAAAATGTAAATTGTAATTAACGAGTTATAGCGCGATTATCCGTGATTAATCAACCTCGTTTAGTTGGTTTAACCGGGCGGTTATCGTCCAGAGAGATGGGCACTCTTGAGGGATTTTGTAGGAAGCCCCATATCTGTTACAATTATTTCATCTGGAAGCTATCGATTGTTCTTCGGTTAGACGATTTTCACTAAAGAAGACACACCCAATTCTGTCGGTTAATCGTTGCCCAATTTGAAAAAAAAAAAAATATATATATATATATATATGCATTCGGGGAGAATGGAAGAATTCGGACCCCCCTTCGTGACGTCTCCAAAATTGCGTGTCGTCATCTAAGTAAAGTAATATGTCTACCGACGCCTTTCCATTTCGATTAAGTCGATTTCCTTTTCTGTTCCGTTCCTTTTCCTTCCGTAAACTATTAATAAACCAGGATATTGACCATGCGGCGCGAAACTGCGCGTTCTACGTGCCGTAACACCGGCTTGTACCGTAAATGGTACACGGCGCTACGACACAATTTTAGTAGGAAAGAAGAGAGGAAAAATGGGCAAATTTCGGAAATAACGGATGCTGCAAAGGGTTAAAAATGATGACGTAGTATACACCATAATGTTGTACGCTACCAAGTATTTAAAAATGGTCTTAATTTCGGTGGCGGAACCGTAAATTTTGGAGCAAAATGTGACGTTAAACGACAATGGCGGTTTGGGGGTGGAAGTTAAGCCAAGTTACGAGGTGTTAAAGGTCACCGTTTTAAAATTCCTATAGGGGATTAGTCAATTGTTCGATTGGAAATATTTAATTGTTTAATTTTAGCCAATTTCGTCTCATTTTATTGGTTCTTTTCCAATGACGAAGAGGACGTCTCCGGAGAATTTCAACAGATTTAAGACACGACATAGCTTTTATCACTCTTATTTTTCTTTAACTTGTCTCCGCCATTATTCTGTCCAACGAGAGAATAAAACTAGACAATATATATATATATTTGCTCTAAAACATTTATTTTTATTCTGTTTTTTTTGCAAAATATTTCTTAAAGTTTATGTTTTTTTTTAAAAAAAATAAACAATCCAAATGGAATTGTTTCTCGTATTTAGGTCACAGATTCGCTCCTTCGTAAGTAAATTACTTCTTGTATATTGTCGGAAAACAATTGTTTTCAATTGTTTAAAATATTCCTCTATGATCTAATTGAATCGTCGATAATTCTTTTTGTTTTATTTTTTATTTAAAATTGTTTTCATTCCAAAATTCCTTTAAAAAAATCCCAATTGTGGAATACATCCAAGTGCGAAATGTTAAATAACACGTGTTCTCCCGTCATGTGCCATTAGTTAATATTTAAAAAAAAAAAAAAAAATTGTTTTGTTCGAGAATTATAACGATATTTTTAGTATTTAAACACAGTAGAAATTCGCCATTCGATTGTGACGTATTACACAAATACAGAAGCGGAGATATACACACGTAAACGTAATTAAAATACACAGCGTATTAACACTCGAACACATAGACGTGTATGTTAACACCACTCGCGTAAATGCGCGTAGAAGTAACTTATACATACAAACACAACGTTTACAAGTATACTACACACGAGCACGCACACGAAAAGGCCAAAAACACGTATCTAATAACAATACGTGGTGTTATAGATACACACGCGTACAGTTTTTAGTATCCTCATTTATTATTATTATTATTTTTTTTTTTTAAATGTTTATTTAATGTACTGGGTTTTTGTATACAAATCGAAAACACAGCAATTGTTTTACTTCTATAGTAGTGTCGAGTAAAGTAACAAAGTCACACAAGAAATACGTAGAGGGTATTCGAGGGAGAAACACGAGATTATTATTATGCAAATGTATATATATATATATAAATCTTTGGGCAAACACCTCGTTGTTCCTCATTCTTTTTTTTTCCTCCCCTTGTGTTATTCTAGTGTCGGAAGGGCGGAAGGGAGTACAAATATTCGTTCGAATGTAATCTGCGGAAATATTTGCACCCCGCTAACTGAGTACACTTTAATTTTAGGAGAGTCACACACACAAACACAAGTCAGACGCGTTTGTTTGCTCTCTGATCGATTATCGTCACGTGATCGCCTGTTTAAAAAACGTCACAGCTAACAATTCGAAATACCGGTTACAGTCCGCGATTATTTTGCCGAAAAATTATAATTTCGAAACATTTTCATCCTATAATTTCCGAGAAACACGGCGAGAGGACAGACACACGAACGTACAAAGTAAAAAAGTAAACATTCCGACGTCCGAAGCTAGGAATTAATTTATTATAAGTATATCTTTAGGTTACTGTTACGACTCCCAAGCTAACTAGAGGTAAATAATTATGGTAATTTACTTACCTCTAATGACAGATTACTCGTAGTTTAGCTTTAATTATGACTTTAGAACTAACTACGATTAACTGGGAATTAACTAAAAGGTGAGTAAATTATTAAGTAATTTGGCTTAGAAGCGGCAAATCGGGAAATGAACCTTTTTGTGGCTCGTAGTTAGTTAGTATTCTACTCTTGCAGCTTTGTACTAAGTTTTAAAACTCTAATTAGAGGTAGAAGTAATATAATTTGGCTTAAATTTTGCAAGAATAGTGAGTTAACTCCCGTAAATTATTCTGTAACTCGCTGCTCTTCTAACTTCTATGCCAAAATACCCCCTATAACACTGTTGATTATTCCGTTTTATATGAATTCCATGTTGTACGAGTCACTTAGATTTTACAAATACGTGAGTCGTTCACAGCCCGGCACACGTATTTGTAAAATCTAAGTGACTCGTACAACATGGAATTCATATAAAACGGAATAATCAACAGTGTTATAGGGGGTTCGACTGGTATTATACTCTGTTGATAGATTATTACTTGTAGTTTATCTTGTGGCAAATTAAAGTTAATTACAAGTTCGAAATGAACTCAAGAATGAGCCTTTTTTTTGTGGTTCATTCCTGAATTAACTCAGTAAAAGGCTCATCCTCGAGTAACTCGTAATACTGCTCATTCCCGAGTAATTCACAGTAAAAGGTTTATACCCGTTAAATCAGGAATGAAGCCTGTTTTAATAGCGAATTCCTCAAGGAAAGGGTAGCATTATAAATTCCCTTTCGTGATCAATTCGCTCAAGTAAGCCAAATCATCTTGCAACTCGTAATTAGCCCGAAAGTAATAGTTAAAGCTGAACTACAAGTAACTGTTATAATAATTTAATAGATTAATATTTCGTAAGCAGTTTCCTTGTTGTATAATGTCTTTAGAACTGGAATTTTATTGACGTAACTTCTAGTTTACCTTCAATTACGAAATGTCGTAACTTAAATGGTAAAATGACACACAACTTGTTTGTTTGTCTGCGCTTTTTTACGGCGTAACATTCGATACTTAAAATGTGGCGTAACATTTAGTAACTTTAGAACGATTCGTGTTGAATTATCGAATTTTTTTTAATTTTGTTTTTAGCTCGTTTCGACGTAAATTGCATTTTTTTTTTAATTGCTTATCTTTACTTAACGTTATTTTACCAAAGGGCGCCCCTAGTGGCAAGCAGCTAAGTAAGTAGCCAATGATGTAGTCCGTTTCATAAGTAAGCCAGCCGATAATGCGGTTTTTTTTTTTTTTCTTACGAAACGGATTTTATCATTGGCTGTCTTACCCAGCTGCCCGCCACCTGGATTTAAACTCATAGATCCTTATTGCGTTCCTATCAACAAATTGCATTAATTTAGATCTTGATTTAATAAAATTAATTTTTTAAATTTATTCAAATTTTATATTTTATTTTTAAAAAAAATCAATTTGGTTTCTTTAATTTTTCTGATGGGAAATACTTTTTAACAATGAAATTTGAGTAATTATTTTACAGAAAAGGAATGTCATAACCCCCAAAAAACGGGAATTTTTCGTCCATTCGAGGAGAAATTTAGTGTTTAAATAGAATTAATGACGTATAAAAGTAATCCGGTGCAATTTATTGTTTAAATTCTATAAAAAATGGACGAAAATCTGATTCTTATAAGCGACGCCATTTGCAATTTAACGCCATTTTATGCCACGTTAATGCATTTTTTCCCCCTAATCAAATATGGTGATAAATATCAACGAACGATATTATTTATATGAGAAAATCAAATTTTCGAACCCTTCTGGCTTTTTTGTATGCATTTTTTCTTACGCCCCAGTCCGAATATACCAATTTTTATGCAAATTAGGTAAGAGATAATTGGACATTTACGTTATTTATCGAACAATAAAGAGAATTTGAATTCAATTTTGCAAATATATATCAGAAGATACGGAAAGATTCATACATTATTTATGCAATGTACGATAGGCAAATAGGAATTTGAATATCTTCTTTCTGAAGATATTCGATTCTCTATTTCCTGTAAGTTATTAACAAATCAATAATAAAGTATATTTATCTACGGTCGAACCTCCGAACCACGGCCATTAACGGAAGCGTTAAAAAAAAAAAAAACGTGGCCATTGTTTCGAGGTTATTTTGCATGCAATTCAAAATGGCCGCCGTTGTTAAAGGTTCGACTGTATATTATTGAACCTTACGAATAATACGAAGAAAAATTCTGTATTATTTCTATTGCTTCTCCGAATCTCCTTATCGTAACAATACCCATCCGAACAATACAGAAGCCTTAGATCCATACAGGTTTCCTATAAGTACGGACTTTACTCTTATACATCAATACAGCGCGAGTACACCTCGTACATCGATACAATTGTAACCTTATACAGTATTGTGTAACGTATCGATCTACAATACAAATAACTTACGAAATAACGAGCTTCAGATGTACAATTGTGTTAATTTACGCGAGTACGATATCGATATCGTATACAAATAAGGTTATTTGATCGTTACGATTTAATCGACGTTACGGTTGTCATTATCGTATACGAGAAACAAACGGTTCTATGAAAGTTACGCCATCAATTAACGAGCTTTAAAGTATATCTCGTGACATTGGCACGAAATTTCAAGCATGAAAAATTGCATGCAATCCGTCATCCCAGCTTCTATTTGAGGTTTCAAATCCTCATCTGTTCTTCTCATTTCTGTGTTTCGGGTAGTTCTATCAGTTTATTTAATACGTGGGAAACAAACTAGTGTTTCAGAAGCTTTTTGTCTACCCACGCCTCTTAATCAGACACTTCTTTCTTTACAGGCGTTGTTTACTAGACAGTAGGAAGCATTGCTCTCGTATGACGTAAAAGACCAATTGATTTGTGTCTTTTTTTAATTGAAAATGATCTATTTATAGAATATGAAATAGATTGGGAGTTCATCAGACGTTTTTAGATGCCATGTAAATGGCTAAAAGTATATGGGAAAAGTACGTTTTAACGAGAGTGATTGATTATACGACAATACTCGAATTACTTGTCAGTGACTCGTTAATTATATTCTTCCTCTCGGATTTCTTGATGTAGACAAATGTGGATGCGATTCTTTGAAATTTCTCTCTACTTTTTCTCAATTTCTTCACATTTTCTCCTCCCCTCATCGAAAAGTTTTGAAGAATTGATGGCTTATACATCACGTTTGAAAAATAGAATCACGTCTTCGTTGATAGAACATCGTTGTAACATCGATCGATAACAAAGTACGAGATTGTAATTTTCAGAATCTTCCTTGTATATATATATATATATATTGATGTTTTGATACGGATTAAATGAATTCCATCCACGATTTTATTGAATGAAACGGTCATTTGCTTGTTTTAGTATCCACATTTCTGATGGTTCTTCTCTTTCTACCATTGTTTCTCGCATCTTAAACGACTTCTATTGACATCCTTCTGATTTCCTATGTGATGCACTTTCATCATAAATTATTAACTATACAAAATGAAGCAATGTATTTAAAACACGCTTCGCAACTTCGTTCTGCTTTGCAATCTCGAAGTTCTTTCGGATTTTTTGCTGCAACACTTTTATCAGACCGAATAGCGCCATTCAAATGATGGCTCAGGAGCCATATACGAGTCTCTCGGGGCATCTGTACGTAACAAAATCTAAAAATATTTAGTTTAAAGTCTACCTTAACTACCGCAAAGAAACAGAGTAGAAGAAAATCGAGCTTAGATGTATCAGGAAAGGGACTAAAGCTGTAAAGAGAGATGCAGATTGAAAATTACCGTCCAAACTTTTCATTAATTAGCCTGTGGTAGAAATGAAGTGAAGATAAAATTCAAATTAATTAAACACAATTCGACTCGGTCAAATCGTAAAATAGAAGAAATTGTCTTGGCTTCAATATTTATAAATCCAATAAGAGTAAAAAATCCATTTTATCGGATTTTCTCGAGTCCAATTTTATGTAAACCGATTGTTAAAATCTTAAAGGAAACTCGTTATTCTGTATCCAAAAATATAGGAAATTATCGTTATTCGTTCATTTCCGGTAGTTAACGAACACGAGAAAATTGATGTCTTGATGAAAATGTCATCCCTTTTTTCCTTTCTATCTCGTGAGGTAAGAACCCTCGTCTTTTTCGTTTTACCGAGAGGAAACACTAGCCAAACTGTCTTATCTTCCACCGCATTCCTAACAACAAGAATGTGTGGAAAGATTAAATTTCCTCACACGCTGCCTTATTGTTCTTACATACAATGCAATTTATAGAATAAAAAAAAATGTATTCCTACTAAAATTTGACTCATTGTTTTCTAAATTATAGATGCGGTCAGATAACTGACGTTGGACTGGGTTATCTCTCCACAATGGCCAACTTGATGGTACTGTATCTGAGGTGGTGCACACAGATTAGAGATTACGGTATTCAACACTTATGCAGAATGAGGAATCTACAAGTTATATCTTTAGCAGGTACGAAATGTATTATTATTATTATTATTATTATTATTATTATATTAAATTCTATACGTGTTGTAATTACCGAAGTCGCTTACGGGACGAAGCACTAGAGGGTCCTAAACCGCACCAAAATAAAGGGTACGTTCCAGTATGCACCGGTGAACTTGGCAAAGAATATCCGAACACATTGTAGTTGACAGATGCATACTAGAATGTCGATTCTGTCAAGATGACGAGAACCCGAACGGTTTAGGGCACGCCGGTGCTCCAACCGGATGCGACCCGAATTATTGTGGCAAGTATCTAAGAGGAAAACCTGTTTTGTCCGTTTAGGATGCCCTCTAATAACGTCTGCGGGTTTGTCGTCTCTGGCGCAGTTGAGACACCTTCAAGAACTGGAATTAACAAACTGTCCTTGTGTTACTAAAGAACTGATCCATTTTCTGCACGAAAATCTTCCCACGTGTCTCATCATTGAATAAGTTCCGATAGAATAGGAAAGACCAGCATATAACTGTTGCACTATAAGATAAATCAAAATTTGTTTATCATCCTATAACAGCAAAGTAGTTTAACCTTTTTCATTCTATTAACCATAGTTATTCATTTTTCTATTTTGTTTTTTTTTTTTCGAAAGTTTCAGATCGTCTCGACGTATACACCCGCTCGGACCAAATGACGGAATAATAATTTAAATACCCAGAAAAAATAAATCGAGACTATTTTTATTAAATTGATAAAGTAATAATCGAAATTTATACTAATGTTTATCTCGTCTCCGCCTTCAAATTAGCTTAGAGTGGCTAGATCAAAAATCTCGACCATAATACACCGTAGATCCTAGTCGTTTATCGAAATACGCTCCACTTTAACACTTCCTAAGCAATACTAGTCCATAGAATACAGTATACGATTTGATAGGATAATCAAATATCGGTTCAAATCCTTTATTTTCGATTTATACGTTCACCGTTGCTCGGGGCCATCTTCGTATTGGGGGTTCTCTCCAAGGACCAGGTCGTGTGTTCCTCGAAGAAAGTGCCCTAAAAATCGCCAGATTTATCCCAAAAAAACCACGGTACAATTTGATATCGGATTCAAACAAACACCTTAATTTCGATACATTAACAAGAGAATAAGTGTCACTGTCTGTATTTTTTCAATTGAAACTCTCTCTGTACAAAATTCAAAAATTTAAATAACAATTCGGTTGGAATTTCTTTTTCTTTTTCGTCTAACTCTTCTCTTTATATTCTGTCTGCAGCAGTTTTGCATCCGAGATATATTACATAATTGCAATTATCAAATATTACAGCAATGATGTTAATATTAAATGATAAAAAGTCTATTAAAACTTATAAAAATAGAAATATTCAGCATTATAAATTTTCTAATATAATATTTTAATGAAAGCAAATCAAAAAAAAAAATCGCTCTACGGTATTTAAAAATAAGTACAGTACGTAATAAACCAAGGAAATTGTAAAAATCGTTTACAAATAACTGAAGTGCTCGAACTCGGTCTCGCCTGTATTTTATTAAAATAGCTCAATGGGTATTTTAAACAGTTAGCAAATTCGTCTATACGTTTAACAATAATAATAATAATAATAGAGAGGTTGCGGCCGAAGTTTTCATCTCTCAAACGTGAACGTCGAACGTCGAGTCGAACGTCAAGATAGTGGCGCTCGACGTTCGACGTTCACGTTTGAGAGATGAAAACTTCGGCCGCAACCTCGCTAATAATAATAATATAAACAAATATTAAATAACAGAAATAATAATTTGATTCCCTTGATTTAACACAGACTTGGATTTACGTGTAAGCCAAGGCTTTACATTTTTAATATTATTGTTTATCAGACAAGAAAGAGCCTCTTACATCTTAAGACAATGGTTTTCGACTTAGTTTTCGTGGCATTTCTGAACGTCGAACGAACTCTTAAAAATGTGCAAGGTTCCCCGATATTTATTGGATGTTAGGTGTGCCACAAACACAAAGGGTGCCAGCTTCAAAAAGGTCGAAAACCACAGCTTAATAGGCTAAATACATACCCGATACGTTACGAATAAATTTAATTTAAGTGAAATTACAAGGAGAACGAGCCAGAAGCCGGCATCTGTCATTTGTAGACGAATCGTTTTTGCAATTCTAACCATTCTAGTGTGCTTCACAAAGTGTTCATTTTGTGTAATGTAGTTTAGTGGTAAAAAGTACAATGTAAAAAAGTAATACGAGATATTTAAGATTACTCTACGTGAGGTAAAATTATTTTGTAATCGAAGACAAATATTGTAAAATGTGATTTCATAAATTAAAAAAGAAAAAATGTATATATATAATCCAGAAGAAAATCTTTAAAAATTGTTATTAAATACAGTATAACTGTTGTGAGTCTACATAAAATCATTACTATGTTTCATATTTTATGTAACATATTTTAAATGTTATGTGATTTTTGTTATGTATTGATTTCTAGCTCGACCAAAGATGTTACACACTTGGTATGCCTTGGTGACCATTTATAAATTGTGGGAATTGCAAAAAGTTATGGTTATTATTAGAATCTAGAGATTATTATTTCGAAAGATAATTTTAAAATAAATTATAAAGATCTACCTACTTATGAATATATTTCATAAATTTGTAATTTAATTCTAAACCAGACAATTGCAATATTGTTTATGGAATTCCTCTGATCTGGCATTCTTTAAATTATCGTCTAATGATGTAGAAAGATTTGTTTACCGGAGTAAATCCTTGTTTTAAGACTTCTAATGAGTAGAGGATTTTACTGTTTGGATTAACTGTGGACATACAAAAAAATAAACATAATTACCTACCTGTACACTAACCTAAATATTTAGAACTTTTGATTTTACAGAATTAAATCTGCTTTGGATACACTTTATTCATTTTACAAGATATAGTCGAGCAGATAAATCGATATTTACACCAGTAAGAAGTCATTCTGGCAAATTTCAAGTATACAATGAACGGATTTTCAAAACTACAAACCACCTTCGACTGTTTTTCTAGTAAACCGAAGGAATAATTCGACACGTCTAAACCTTTAATTTATCTAGTTATATAGTCTAGAATTATAATAGAATATCTCCACTTTAATTATTCTAAATACTTGCACACCGTTTGCAATTGCCAGATGACTCGAACCATTATATACAGAGTTTTAATATTTATATTTGCAGTACGTACGGTGTTACGAGACCTCTGTTATATATTGCAATGTCATATTAGAGGAATTCTATACGTGAAATTTGTTGTTATAAGTAATCTCCGGTTACAAGTGTGAATTTTGTCGGTATATTCCCAAAGCGTGCCTCAAGACTGTTGGCAGATTCTAGAGACTTGTTATCTGTAGTGTGTGTATATATACACATGTTCATGGGGTTCTCAATGGGCTTCGTTGATGCAGCACAATGTTTTAACCTGTTTGTAGAGGAATAAAATGTTCTGAGCTCCTTAGATATTGGCCTTACAAACTACTCCACTTGTCCCCGGTAGAGAAACGACCAGAGTCGACGGAATGTGGAAAAAGTCATGTTAATTGTGCCTCGGCATGGAAAAAATAAAAGTTAGGAACCGTCGACCAGTGTTAAATCTCAATGCTGAGACAGTGATAAACCAAAATACTAATATATATATAAATATATATAGAATATTCATTGTTAATAAGAATAGAGTTTTATTCTTATTATTTAAGATGCTAGATATATTTCCTAAAAATCATTTGTAATTATTCATTTGCTTTCATAAATCCATAGCTAAATATATAACATAGTCTAGAATTAATACATTCATAAAGACCTAATGTGATTATGTACAAATGAGCACTTTAGTATAAAGAAAACAAAACATTTTCACTAATATCAATTAAATAAAACAAAAAAAAAATATATCAATTAAATTTTCTAGATTTAAAAGTATAAAAAAAGTGTCGAATGTACTGTACTGTGCCAATCTTTAGCCGTGCTAAAGATGAACAGCGTCGAGTGTTTCCTCCGAATATTTCTAACAGTAGCCAACCGATTATTATTGTTATTAGAGTTAAGTAACCTGACGTCCCCCGGTTTGGTAGAAGGACGCATTTGAAATATCTCCACGGCACTCTTTATAATAATACATCGATACCGAAACGACCCGAGACGTAAACTCTGTCGCGTGGTACGAGTGTAGATTCCGTAATAGCCGTTTCTTCATTTTAGAAGAGACGGAATATCTCGAGCCACTTTGTATTGTTGATGTAATTAGAAGATTGGAATTGGATAAAAACAATAGCTATATATAAATATATATATATATGTATAAAAAAAAGGAAAAAAATAAAATTAATTGTTGTTTAATTGTTTCTTCTTCTTACATTATTGCAAGTGTCTAAAGTATGGAGCTACCAATGATTTTCTTTTATCAATAATTGATAAATTATATATAACTGTTCAAGTAACTGAATTATTCTAACTGGCCAGAAATTTTATATTACGTAAGACGTAATATATTATTAAAAAATAAATCAATACTTCTGTATTGTTTAGTATCTATCCACCGATTTGTTCTAAAACTCTGATGAATTTTTGATACTTTATTAGAAGAGTTTTTACTTTTTACACAAATTATAAACATCAATCTGCGAAGGATTAAAGTGTAAATTCATAGAAAATAAGCAATATTTTTATTGCAATTAATAAAAAAATAATTAGGTGAACCAAAAGCATAAAGTCTTTGTTATATACTATACAATGTGCATTGAACATTTCCAACTTTAATTATTATTGGTGACAAATAAATAGATAACGATACTATACTAAATTAATGAATAATTTCTAGTGTATGGCACGAGACTGCCTCACTACTTAATACCCATTGATTTGTGAAGCGCGTTATGTTGGACCAAAAAACATTTTCTGTATGATAATCAGTTGTTATTGACTTTTGAAGTTACTTTGGAAATAGTTAAAAGTAAATAGTAACAGTAGAGGAATTAAAAACATTTGCAAAAAAAATTGTAGTGGAAACTATGGTTGTGGGAATATAGGCCAATGATCCTGTAAGCCTGGAAACGTAGAAGTTCCATTGATCTTTGTTTATTCTTTTATGGGCACAAAATAAGGAGGAACAAGTTAGGATTAGAGTAAGTTGCCGAAGAATTTAACCGGCTGCATTCGGACTTTATGCCAATCGTATAAGGTGATCTGGATGCGGCTTTTGGTAACTTCTTGCCGATCGAGTCGTATTGAAAAATCAATGTAAGTCCTTCGGTCCTCGACAATTGCCTTAGGTTACATTAAATTTCTATAATTGTGTACATTAACTTTTTCAGCTAACATTTGAGACAAGGCATCGAAACGCAATAATAAGAACAAATTTCATTATTAACAATTATCCTTTTGACTTCTAAAAGTAAATTTCTTCCAGTTAAAATTAATATTTCTTATATAAGAAATCTATTCCTCATTATACTATTAATCTGAGATGTTATCATTGAATTTTAAGTCATTTATGTAGAATTTTGATTTCCTTATCTTGCTTTGTATGCATAATACAAGTGTGTTAAAATAGTTTTCATTTAATCAAGTGATTTCTGCCATACTATTTTCATGTCTTCAATTTTATTATCTAGCCAGATCTCCTTGGTCGAGAGCAGTGTTAGTTTTATTTATATAGTCTAATTTTATGTACAATCAAACTGTACAGATGCATGGAACACTAAGAAAGAATAGGTGCAAAATTTTCGCTATTTATACACTGATTAGCAAGCCTGGGGTGCACCAAAATTATTTTGCACAGGATTCAGGTAAGGCTAAAGACAGTACCGGTCAAAAGAAAATAAAGATGGTCCTTAATGCATCCAGTAACAGATAACAAAGCATTCTTTACAAAATACAATACAATGATACCTCAATTGGAACATTCTATCAATGATCATTTTCCACATTTGTCATTTTTGGTCCCAAATGAAGTTCCAGCATATAAATATAAGTGGAAACAATGCAGACCAAGATTGAGGCAAAACTTTTCCAAAAAGCAAAGAACAATGTAAGACTTTTTAATAAAAAAGTATTTGTCTAATGCCGTATTATATTCGTGCCAAAAGTAATAAATGTTATTTATTTACAACTTACATTAGGTATATTTCCTCATTCGTCGTTTTTTCTCTATCTCCTTGAAAAATGATGGGTTGAGGTTCCACCGTACTGTAAACTGGAAGCAATAACACAGAGAATAGCCAAGCAGACACTATGTGACCACACAGAAACACTTTTTATATCATAGAAAAATTGCTACAATTAAGTAATTTATTAAATCTTTTTGCTATTTTAATAATAATGTATACTCCACTGTTTATATTACACCATTTTGGATAAATTCAAGTAAAATAAATTATAAAATAACCATAATAATTCTAATTTTTCATATCAAAAAATTCTCAATATTAAAAAACTCTATCACAAAGAAAGACAAAATGTTTAAAATTATAAATTTTTAAATTATTTTACAGTAATACAAACAAAATATGTTTAAATAAATATGAATGAACAGTTCCCTTGTCATTTTTTTTATTATTTTCATCATCGTTAACAATAAAAAAAATTATAAAATTTGAACAGATGATGTTTAATCTTTAATGTGAGCAAAACTTCTTGAAATGTGTTTTTCCCCCATTTTAAACACTGTCTCGTGGGATTTAAGAGTTTTCTCGTACCCATGATCAATTTATCCGCACCCACAATAGCTAGGTGTCAAGATACGGGGCCTAAAATATCCCAGTCAAATTGAGCTCTGACCTGGATTTGAATTAGTGTCTTCCAGTGTGTAGGTGCCTACCTTTCCAGAAGACTTTAGAGCGGTAAAGGCAGGAGAGGCTTGGCCATCTGGTCATCATCCAAAATTTGATTAGTAACAATCAACCAAAAATTGTTCACTGACAAAAATCATGAAGCAATATTGTCAAAAAAAGAACAACTTTATCCTACCTCACTTTCTGTAATCTCAAGCAAAGAAGAAATGTCAACGACTCTGTCCAAATGAAAAATACAGTAGAGCCTCGATTATCCGACTCCTGATTAACCGACCATCCTAGTCGGCAAATTTCAAATGTCCGCTAGTGATGTGGCGCTATAATATTTGGCTATGTCTTGGCTACTTCAATAATATTTTTATGTGTTTTTGCTGGCAACACTGGCTCGACCATGACAGAGAGCCAGTATATAAACGAGGCTTAATTTTCTAATTTTTAACTATACAATAGCGACGATTATTATTTTAAAAAATTTCTGTTAGGCTTAACATTGATGAAAATTCAACGCGAAGTAGGTTAATAGTGATATACTAATATACTAATTACATGGGATATAATAATATGCTACACTAATAATGGATTTTTTCATACTTTCGGTTATCCGACTTTTCAATTATCCGACCAACCCCAGTCTCCAATTGGGTCGGATAATCGAGGCTCTACTGTAATATGTTGATGGATAATCAAAACTTTTCTAACTTAATAAACAATGTCTAAGAGTAATTCTTGGGCAATCTAATGAATTATAGGTTTGATACTTCTATTTTATTATTATCTCTAGCAGTAGATATTTAACTATTCAATATTTACTTATTTATTGAAAAATAATTTATAATCATCACTTCCCAGATATTATTATGTAAATTCTTGGTAGACAATTATCATATTTATGTAAATTTGCAAACCAAGTCGGGTGTTTGAACGCTTTTATTTAAACTCCGAGGAAAACTGTAGACTCGCAAAAGGTATTACTGCACTTCAGGTGTTTTATGAAATGCAATAATACCTTTTGCACATCTGCAGTCTTCCTTAGAGCTTAAATAAGGGCATTCAAACACCCAATGTGGCTTCAAAGGAAAGATGATATAGGATTGGATTGATGGGATAGGGCAATCTATCAAAGAGGCTGGGATGACTTTCTATGAAAATTGCCTTTATTTAGATGTTAGACGAGTGAAGAAAACCCGGAAAACTTCACGTGGCCAGCCCGTCAGTCGGACACAAAGCCACAACCAACTGCGCATAATTGATCGTAGATACTATCTATAAGTAACCGAGAAAAGTTATGAGTATGTCTATATATTTTTTTTTAGAAGCCACATAGTATTATTTAAATAAACATTATATAAATGCAACATATTATTTTAGCTCAATCTTCAAAAAATATTTTACCTAAGAGTTTAATGAAGAACTTTCTACAAAGTAAAGTAGGCATAAAGCCATATGCAATATTATGTCTGATTTATCCTAGTTCGAAAATATCTCGATAAAAAAATCGGCAATCGACGGTTTGGATATGGACCCAATACGAGATTACTCCCTAGAGTCCAACTTAACACGTTAATTTGCAAAAAAGAATAGTTTCTCACCCAAGGATTTTATACTTTTGTGAAACAAAAGATGTTACAGATGAATCTCTATAGCAAAGGCTATAAATATCTTTATGCATTTTTATTGCATTTAATTATTAATCTAGTCGTAACATAATTCAAATGTAAAATCTAAATCAAGTACAACATTTTATTGTCAGAATCCAAGTTAGAAATTACAAATGCAGAATTGAAAGCACAATAAAGAAATATACTCTGACTACTGTATTATCAGTTTTTGCAATCAGAATTAATCTTTAATAATATTTCTATATTATCTGATTTGATTTGTAAATGGCTGTGTTAAATATAGTTTGAGTAGAAACAAAAATGAATTACAATATTAATCTGTATGACAGAAATTTTTGTTTATGGCTGCCAAGAGTAATTAAATTTTTTTTCCAATATTCAACTAAAATACAGAATAAAACCTTTTCAAGTCTAACTACTAATTTATTTCTTGTTTAAGCTTTCCGACATTTTCGGAATTGTGAAAAAACTTAAGATAGTTTACTTTTCGGCATATGAAATTTGTCTAAGCTGTACCAGACGTTGGTAAATAAGAATATAACAAATAAAAATAAATAAAATTTTTAATTAAAAAAATATATAATTTTACTGCATCCAACCAATATTAATAAAAATAATGTCTTTGGGACAAAATTAAATTGAGAAAAGAAAAAAAAACCTTTTGTACATTAATGTTTTCATCAATCTAAAAATGTAAATATACAGCATACAGCATCTAAACAAGAACTCTAGTTTAAATATAATTAAATCTAATGTGTATTTTTATTCCTTATAAAATTGCAATGGATATAAATGCAAGCATTGTTTCACCTTTGAATCAAAACCAAATTTTGGAGATCGTGCAATTAGCAGCAAAAACCTTTTACAGCAATTGGAATGTTGGCTTTATACTCTATAGAAAAAGATGAAATTCGGTTATTCATAAAAATTACTTTGTATACCTCGATCGATTGCCAACAGACATCCTTCGATGGACATTTTGCCCAAAGAAATTGAGTAATACCGTGGATTTCCTCCAAAAGCCAAGCCTCTAGGCATTTTATCATTTTTGACAGCTGTAATTGCACATCTTCCAGAACTGTGACAGAAGTCTGTCAAGTAGCTTAGGTACAATTTTCAGTATAAAAAATGTCATTTTGATATAATACGTACTTCTCTTTGCAATACTCACTACCGAACTTTACTTTCCGATCAATCCGTGTATTAATCTGAATTAATTTTATTTACGACCATAAAAACTTTCCTAATTTAATATTATGTTGACTTGTATTCTCATAATATCATATTATTGTGATATTAATAGGAGGGCTTCGTCTTCTCCCTCGACCCAAAAGCTTCGATCCCTTATTTTCAATATAGATTATTCATAACAAAACTTTTGTGACGATTCATCAATGCCCGATGCCACCGTTCTTTTTATAATAGGAAAACATTCACAACAATTTAAAGCTAAGTGTTTTATATACAGTACTATAGAATACATTATATTATAATCACATTCTCTTAACATAATATTATGAGAATGTGAGTTTGAAAAGCATAATTAGATAAATAAAAGCTTCTTCCGATTTATAAATTAATCTGTTTTGACTATTTATCTATTCTATTTCTTTAAAAACTCTACCAAATACAGTTTTTATAACAGTTTTCTTCTGATTATTAGTGAAATTAATATCACAATTTTATAATTAAAAAAATATCCACTTTTATTGTAAGAGTTACTTCCATTTAAATAAAAATTTAACATATATATATATACATACATACATATCACAATAGAAGTGAATACGTTAATTAGTCCACCAAGCCAATAATCCTAATCCTGACTCAGCAATGGTTCCCTAAAAAATAATAATTACAAATAATTAAATAAAAACAAATTTTTAATGAAGAATAAAATATTTAAAGTAATTGTTTTTAACTACCTTTAATTAGAGATTCTCTTTTAATATATTAGAGGGCAACAATACTATGTGATAATGCAATTTGCAATTCACTGACAATTTACAATTTGTGTAAAAAAAAACAAAACCCCACTAATTTAAATGAATAATTAAATAATTTTTCTAAATGAGAAATAAAGGACAATTAATATTTACGGTTAAAGAATAGGGTATTCTTTTCTCCTTTTCTTCGACTTCGTTCATGTCTGGTCCGCTGGGTGAGGTGTCGACGAACGTCTCGTCCACTACGCGAAATCTGTTTAAAAATTTAATCTTGTTTACTTTTAGGTTTTTTTTTATCACATTTTAGTATTTATTTATTTATTTAGCATTCTATATCAAACTATTATTTCAAATGTAGAAATCACCCTTTTAGAGTGGAAAATAGATTAGTTCTACAGCAAACATTTCTACTTTCTCTACGAACAATGTATTATTGGTTTTGAATTACAATATTTAAATGATACATCATCATCTACAGAATGAATTAATATCAAAATGTAGGAGGCTTGCTATAATTTAATAACAACTTTTGTAAGTAGTTAACTATGTAAATTATGACTTAGAAATATTTGTTGATTGATTAAAAAGAGATCAAAGTTAAAGTTCCTGTCTTCAACACTGTCTGAAGGTACAGCAGTCCAAACTCAACCAAATTTTCTATGTCAATACTTGTAGTGGTGTGTAAGTGGACCGATTGGATTTTTCTACTCCACTGCTGGACGAACCAATCGGCAGATATATATATAAGTGTGTATATTTTAGGATAAAAGAACAAAAGCACTCATTGAGTGTTTTCGTTCTTTGAACCTAATACACACATATATATATAAATTTTTTTTAATACATAAATAATTACAATAGAATAATCTGACTTTTGAAATGTGTAAATGTTTCTACCCATCTACTGTCAACTTTTCTTTAACTTACATTTTATTGTAATTATTTGCTTTTTGTCTTTTTTTTTTAATTAATTAATTTTCTTAATAGCTACTTTTGAATTTACTAAGAATTTGGACTTATCATACCATAGTTTTCAATAGGAAAGTTCACTGAGATTTTATTAAACCAATATGTACATTTCGGGCCTATTATTAATTACTCTTCATTATCTATCTATCTATCTATTTGAAGGACTCTTCATATCTACTTATCATATGGTAAGTTCTTCAAATTCATAATTCAAATTCAAGTCCTTCAGTGTTCTTTGCAGAAGCTTTGTATTTCTAGCCTTTCCAGATGTTTAAGATAAGACTAGTCTCTCTCTGCGAAAAATGACGTCTGGGTCTCTCTCGATGAGGCCTGCATTTTATGTCCCGTTATAGACTGGGCCTGTCTTAAACATCCGGAAAGACTAGAAATCTACAAAGCTTCTGCAAAGAATAGTCATAAATTGTAAGGATACTGAAACCATCTCATGTGCATGGAAGTCCTTTTTTGAAATACACTAAAAAGTTTTTTATTACAAATAAGCATCCATGTTATAGTGCACTGCATCAAGTGTTCCATCCATTTAAAATTTGTTTTATTTTTGCTTCTTGTCCAGCATTGGTTAATGATTTTTTTCTGGATAAAAGTTCTTCTAAATAAAACAAAATGCTAGACAACTGATCAGCTATGTATAGGAGATTTCTGAGAAGAAAAAACTCCAAACTACCCCCATTACAGCTTGTAATTCTAAAAATGGCAAAAAGCTCCGGTGCAACTTTGTAAGGTTTTGTAACTCTTGAAACCCACTCATGGCATTGGCATTATTTTCATTTAATAGTTTCTCAAGAAAGACACATTTAGGCACTGCTGATCTGCTGTAATACAAATGGTATTTCACATGCCGTAGGCAGTTTTATATCCAGAACTTGACCATAGCACAAATGCTTTATGCATTTGCTATATATCTTTTTGCCACTTACAGTTCCACTAATTCCATAAGTGACAAGTTCCTAAACTAAATTTTTCCCTGGGAAAATCTCTTTGTACTTCTAGAAATGTCAGCATACAAAATTTGGTTGAGTTTTGACTGTTATACATCTCTCCAGACGGAATCAAACAGGATTTATGTTAATCACCATTGCCTGGTATAAATAGCCGACCAATCAATTTGTCGACACGAGGCACCGGCATATTATACACTATAAAAGTAACTAACAATGGGATTGACTAGATTAGTAAGAAACAAGACCTAATATACCCAAATAAGACCCAGAGCACTCAGAAAATTGTAAAAATTCCAGATTAAAGTTAGGATCTTCAGAGTAAGAAGATATTTTTATAGTCTATTAAAACTATATTGAACTGAAAACTTACTCTGAACTGATATACAGCATTATTATTATTATTATTATTATATCTTGTACTAATATCAAAAAACGAGTTCAAAAGTTACAGAAATAGGAATATAAAATTCAAAGAATGAACTAAGAGAAAAAACTGTTAATAATCAAAAAATATGTTTATTGTACACACGATATTTAGTATTAATTAACACAAATATTTGCTAGTTCTGTTCTAAATTAATGTGTATTTGGGACGCAATTTGAAAAAATTATAGACGTATAAATTCCCACTGTCATCCATCGAGCTCTCCTTAATCTCAAGAATGGTGTTAGATACACGAAATCCAAGACCAGATATGGAAACCTTAGGGCTGGAGGTCCTGATTAACTATATACAAACTGGAAGTCATGTTATTTCAATTCAAAACTTTTTCCCTGAAAGCAGTTAATAGATGACTGGCATGACTTCACTGCTAACAGGAAAAGTATGATGTACAGGGGCAAGACACTTAATTTGAGATGGAGCACATATATTTTAAATTCATAAATTAAAAATTGCAGCCTGGCATTATGACCACAATAAATAATTGTTTATTTGATTTAAAAAATTATATACTTATTCAATTTATCTTCAAAGAAATTTATTTATTCTACTACTGTTTAAATAAAGAATTACAATATTAAAGTACAAAATTTAGATCCAATAACAAACAACCAGATGTTGCTTGGATAATTTAGAAAAATAATCTGGAACAGCAACAACAAGGCTAAAATTATAACAAACTCTTTATTTACACTAAAAGAACTTTTCAATAAGATTGAATTGCAGTGTGTGTCATTATATTCAGTGTGTTTCTTTACCCTTTTTAAAATATTAAGAGCTTTTTCATTCTATCTGAAAATAAAAATTTAACAGAAAGGAATTTTGATTTAGTATTAACATTTAATAATGTAAAATGTATGAAATTTTCATATTTACTTGGTGGCAGATCTGTATAAAAACTAATAGAGCTCGAGTCAGAGTCTGTCACTTTTAGTGGGCCCCGAGACACGATGCAAAAAATTTAATTGTTAAATAAGTAATACAACATAGAAATGTAAAACAATACCGATGTTGAAATTTCTTGTTAAAATTAAAAAAATAAATAACAAGCAATTATTTATTGTGACATTGTCACAATGCTGGACTGCAATTTTTAATTATTTTTTAATTAAAAAAATCATGTGACTTCTACTCCAGACTGTTAGTTCCTGTATAGTTAATCGGGGTATCTGGCCACTAGGTTTACATATCTGTCTGGATTTTTGTAGTGTTTTCCCCTGTATATCACACTTCTCCTAATAACAATCGAGTTATTCCAGTCATTGTCAAGAAAATTTTGGTTTTCTTGACAATGACTGGACTTCTGGTCCAGACTGGAAGTTCGTATATAGTTAGATCTCTGGACCCTAAGCTTTCCGTATCTGTTCTCAATTTTCATCTTTCTAATTACCTTCTAGAGATTAAGAAAGGATAATAAACAGTCATAATAGTATAAATGTATTTATTTATACAGATTAATGACTGAAGAGGACTGTTAAAGACACTCAAAATGCATATCATTATTATAAAATCTTAATAAAGTTGTTGCATTGGGTTGTTATGCATTGGTTCTGTCTTCTATTTCAGATGAATGAAGCAATTTCATTAATTTTTAATAATTAAACATTCATTTATTTTTATATGCTCTAATAACTAAGCATATTAATTTACAAAAAATTTGCATCCAGATAGAATTGTCCTATTATTCTCAGACAGCTATATAATGATTAATGGTTGTGATTCAACTGCATGCTGGGTAATGCCACCAGAGTTCCTTAAAATTGATAACCAGTATCCTATAAAAAAGGCTTGCAGAGGTTCACCGTGTGTCAGAATCTTCAGTGTGCCTGTTATTTGGAGTTCTTCAAATGCCAGGTATACCTATTTAAAACATTATGCATAGCTGATGGAGTTTGAGAAACGCCACTTCATCTGACTGAGGATGGCTGTTTTACTGAATTGCCTATCATCTGGCATTCCAACCTGACTGTGAACAGGTATAGGGATTGTGGATATATCATAACAAACATATATGGCAGGCAAGCTCTGAATGCCGCAGACAGATCACCAGGAGAAATGACTGATCATGACATAACAACAAACAGCTGAAATGACATCTTTGTCCACAATCCAGAGACAAGTGAGAAGGCTTGCTATAAAATTCTGTCTCTTCACATATCATTTGCAAGTGACCAGTAGAGACAAATTTGAATGCATATCCTACCATTAGCTTCATTTGCAGTGGTGTCATGATAGATAAACATGGACTTCTAAAAACGGGCAATGTATGTATGGGCATTAGCTACAAATTCTGTTCTGTTTAATAATGGTCAACTACCATATTAGAGGGTAGAGGACCATTGATGAGCACTTCAATCCTGTCTTAACTGCTGAATGGCACACTGTTCCCACTGATGGCATGATGGTCTGGAAATCATCTTTCGTGTATGGAAATCACCTTTAGCAGTTGTACAAGAGACATTGATAACACAGTTGTGCATTCGGAAAATACTGCATCCTCATATGTTGTCTTTCGTGACATGACTGTAAACACTCATTTTCTGTCAAGATAACACTCAGCCATAAACAGCTAGGGATTTCAGGAATGACTGTATTACGTTGCCATACTTCCTTGTCCTGTCCATTCTCCAAATTTATTATCCATCGAGCATTTATGGGACCAGATAGGTTGCCAGCTTTGGTCATCCAAGAGCATGAAGTATCTGGAGTGGCAGTTATAACATCTGTGGGCAAATCTATCACAGGATATCATATAGAGTCAATAGAACTCCATTACTGACTGTATCATTGCATGTATCCAGGCAAGAGAAGATCCTATAAGGCACTAATGGTTCCTTTAACTTGTTCCATTGTTTCACAGATAATTGACTCTTTAGAGTTGTCCATAAATTATGTCTACAATTTTTTTGAAATTTTTACTCTCCTTTCCTCTCATGTCCCAGTTTGTCAAAGTTTCCATAACCCTTTTCTCTTTGGATGTCCAACAAAACCTAATCCCCCTTAAAACCTTTATCACTTTACAAATGATAAATATCATAAGTAGAAATGAAACATATAAGAAATTTTGAAATAAATGTAATAAAATGTATAAAATTTAATGAAATAAATGGATGTCTACCGAAGCTCAACCCATCCCCCCCTGTCCGACTTTGTCTGACTTGTCTTAACTCCCTTCCTCCCTTCCAGTGTGGACGTCATTTATGGACAGCCCCTTTGTAACCACTTATTACCATTGTCATTACATTTGCACTAATAAACTTTCATTCAATTCCAACATCACTTTCACTCTTTCTTGGTATGTAACATTTTTGTCAATTATTGCACATAAGTCGTCGTGAGATTGAAGTAAATCCTTCAAATTGCAAAAATTTACATAATGAATAAAATTTAAATTCAAAAAGCAACACTGTAAATAAAATACACAGCATATTTAATAATAAAAAATATACAAAAACTACTTTTGCCGACTTACTTCAGGCTTCTTTGTTTGTTTAAATCAAACCAAAAGAACACTTTATAAATTCCAAGTAATGCTGTTAGACTACAAGGTTACAAGATGTTTATATTATAAACATTCGACTTTAACAAGCCATAGAAACCCATAATAAGTCAGTAAAACTACTTTTTGTATATTATGTTTTTATTGTTAAATATGCTTTTACTTTTTAATTATTAAATTTATAATTATAATAAAACCATCAATTCAATTACAAATTTGTTAGTGTTTGTAAAATGAAATTATCACTTAAAGTTTTTTTTTAATTATTCAAAAGTAATAATTAAGACAGGAATCAACAGCTGAACTTCTAATATGAAAAAAAAAAAAAACAAAAATTAAGTAGTATAATAAATATAGTTATAAGTAAAATTCTCTTTTCTTGCTACCTGACAATTGCATACACAAATGTCAAGATTTTTCATTCACATTTGTTTTAAATTAAAAATATACTTTTTTTTCATACCCTTTCCACCTCATGGGCATTAAGAGGGCACTTTTAACGAGTCCATTACAAGTTTGACCAGGCCCAGTATGAGGTGACTGGGTGACGACAAATGGGCCCAACGTAGATGGACAGACCATCTCCCAAAAAATTCCCAAAGTTTTTTCGAGCCGTCCAGATTTGATCCCCAATACCCAAGAACCATAAACTGCCACATTAACTGTCATAAACAATACAGTAGCATCTTTGGAATCTACAGATCATATAAGCAAACATTTTAAAACAATTTTGGTTTAAAATGACACCCCTTTGAATATTTTAAAGCAAACAAAAATATTTTGTCTGATCTCGAAATGCTCTATGACTTTGTAATTTAAACTATGCCATTCATCTTTCATTGTATCCAAGATACGGTTTACCCCATCCAAAGTTTTGGAGCACACAGTATCCAAATTAACAAATAGCCCACTACTTGTTTAAATCAAACAAATAGCCCACTACTTGTTTAAATCAAACCAAAAGAACACTTTATAAATTCCAAGTAATGCTGTTAGACTACAAGGTTACAAGATGTTTATATTATAAACATTCGACTTTAACAAGCCATAGAAACCCATAATAAGTCAGTAAAATCCGGTATCCTACCTATTCCCCAATGCAAGTACGTTTAGTTATTGTATAGCAGAAGCAAAATACAGACTGATGCAGTGTTTCTAAATTTACATCCAATACACTCAAAACTAACACAGTTTTAATCAAAAATTAAATAAATAAAAAAATTTTGTCTCTGACTCCAATATTTTTATTGTAAAGTTAAATTTTTTAAAAAACCATAGCTTAACCATTCAGTTATATTTTACAAATACTGTATAACAGGAGATATCAATTAACCTAAATCAAATTCAGAGTGTAAATTTTCAGTAATATTCTGTAGTGTCACTATCAAATATCTCACTACTGGCACTAGTGTTAAGTTTTATTTATTACTTTACAAGAAGAAAAGCAAGATTAATGAGTCACGAGCTTACACTGTATCAAATGCTTCACTGCGCCTATGCACGGTGAAACGTTTTATACATTAGAAACAATGTTGACGTGCAATCCAAAACAGATTTTTTGACTTGTGTGACGAATAAGCAGGCCAGGGATTAAGAAACATTAATAAGTAAATGAAATACGACATCATCTTTAAAAAAAAAAAACGTAATAAATAAATTTCATGTGAATAGTGTATTTCATTTAATATTAATTTTACTAGAATATAGTTATAAACTTCTTGCCTCTAATGAATTACATACAGTAATTATCTCAAACTACCAATTGGTGGAGGTATACGAGGCTTATCAAACTGTATTGAAGTGTTAGAAAATCAAGATCACGTCAATAAAAGACTAATTTTATTTGTGGGATGCATTTCGGTCTTCACTAAGACCCTCTTCGGCCACTATTATATAAATACCAATACCTACAACAATTGCAAAAACTTACATTTAACATTCAAGTTTAACTTAATACATAAAAAATTACAAAAGTTGAAAGTCAAATATAAGGGGTTGTCCATAAATATAAATTAGACAATTTTTTCGTTATTTCTTTTCATTTGTATGTATTAACTTTCTACGCCTTAGTCTTTTTTTTACTATTGTATTAGAATTAAAATTTTTACTTTATTTAAAGTATTTATCTTTTCATTCTTCTTCCTCTATCAAGTGCGATCGGATGCCCAAAATTGTCCCACCCCATATACTGTTTGTTTTGTACCGCCGCATACAAAACAAATGTTTGCTAACAACCATATTAGTGTTTTTGTGATTGAGAAGTGATATTTGAAACTTTTTACATCCTAATATGATAATTTATTACATGTATACATAGTTTTTACTGCGTTTTAGTTATATTTTAGAGAATGGTTAGAAGCTTTGAACTGATAATGCAATCATTATAATTTTTCCATTTAAATAATGAAAGCTAAGCTTCCAATCAATGTTAATTCTTTTTGTTTCTATGTCCTTACTCTTATTGATTTTTGATTATATACTTGTCTGCTTTGGACTTTGTTTATTAATAGGATCCTTGGTTTAGAAAGCAAGTTAAATTTATTAGATACATTAAGATATAGTTTGAAAAATATTGATGAATTGTTAAATAGATTAAAAAATGAAAATATAAACATTACTAATAGTATGAAATTAATGTTATAACAAGTGAAAATAAAGATATATTGTTTTGATTTTTTTGACTGAAATCTCCTCTATTTGCTAAATGGAAACTACACCAGTGTAATAAGTCCTATTAATAAACAATGTCTTAAATAGACAAGCATACATTCAAAATTCCAATCAATGTTTTTGTGTACATCTGATTTTCAGAAACAGTTTACTAACGTTAAATGGGGCATATATCTGTATATGTAATGACTTAATTTTTTCATTAGCCAATTAAAACACTTAAAAATGATAATCAATATTTTACAAAAGTGTAAATAATATTTGAAAATAATTTAATAAAATAGTATAATGCAAGTTGTAGCCGATTTGCCCGACAATATATTCCAGCGATCATTGCATCAATAAAACCTTCAAGTAAATCTGAAGTGTAAGGTATCATTTTCATATTATGATAAAATAAACACTACATATTAATGTACTGTATGCATTTAACTGTTTGTCATTTTATTGTTAGAAATCAAATTTAAAAAAAAATAAAAACTTAAGAAAATTTAATAGAATAAAACACACTTATGTTTGTATTCGAAACCAAGGATCAAGAGTTAGAATTAAAACCAATAAGCATCTATGTGCTAAAAGTAAGGTAATCGGTTAACTTCTAACTCTTAATCCTTGGTTTCGAATACAGTCATTAAAGTAAAACTTATTAAAATCAATATTAAACACAATCAATAACTTAATGATATATATAAATACCTGATTTGTTCGCCTGGATCCATAAATAATTTGTGTTTATTATCTTCACTTTCATATTCCCAGAACCAGACTTGTTCTACCTCATCACTATTCTATTATTAAAGAAGTATTTAATGTCTATTAGATTAAACTTTAAATTAAATAAACGATACTGTTAAACAGTCCACAAATTCTTGAAAATATCACTCACGATTCCTTTCTGCAACCAAAATCTTACAATAAAAGTGATTTATATTTTGGTATAACTTCATTTTGTAATGTTTCAAATAACTATTACTATAAATTATGGTAACAAGTTGTAAAACTTTCTAAAAAATTCTTTTCTTGAAATTAGTACTGTTAACTCTCGATAAGTCAAACTTCATTAACTAAATCGAATTTTATTTTCAATCTGATTTAACTCTATTTAAACTTAATATGTGGTATCTGAAAAGTTACTGTGTAGTGAGAAATTTGTAATGATGTTAAAGTTATGCATACAATATTGCATAAGAGACCTGCAAGTTGTATGCAATAGTGTACGGTTAACTAGTTCTAAATGGACGACTTATAGGTCTCCTATGCAACTTTGTATATATGTAATTTATAACTTTGTTAACACTGTATCTCACTAAAATACTTTTGAATTGTTTCGACAACTGAAAATCTAGGACTTCAGCAAACTTATTTTGTGTTGATTAAGAAATAAGTTTGATTTCTGTTGAAATTTCAAGGAGCCGATTTAAAATCACATTGAGACGAACTTGAAACAGAATCAAACATTTAATTACGTACATTGGAAGAAATAAAACAAAACTGTATACATCAAACTTGTGTAACAAACTTCTTTCCCCAGACAGAAAAAGCAAAAAAATTAACAAATTATCAGTGATGGCAAATTAAAAATTGATACTTGTGTTTTTATTAGTGTAAAATTTTGAGAAAATCAACCCACTCTGTCCACCTTAACTAAAGTGTCCCCCATAAATCTCTGGTCTAATCAAATTGTTTGTTTGATTACAGGAATGGTAATTTCTGTAACACAAAAAAATTTTTTTTATTCTTTCCACTTTGAGTTATTGATAGTTTCCGTCTTATGCCATAGAGAGAGAAATATCGAGGTTAATATCGTTGCAGATAAATGCAGCAGAAAATCCATTGACATAGTTTTTGCTTTGTAAGTTTCTCTCAGAAGTCTTTTAGCACACCATTTTGACTGTCGAATAAGTATTCCAATATTCAGAAAGAACTTTCTGTTTTGTGTTATGTTAACAGCTGCATTAACACGTGAAAATTAACAACCCAGAACAATGCAATTAGTCAAATATTCACTTGTGGATTTTTACTGCAACAGAAAAGTTAAGACAAAGTTGAATTGAAGTGGCGGCATTTTTCCGTCATGAAATGACACGAAAACTCTATTTTCTGCCATTATTCTGCACAAGTGGGAAATGGTCTTTATAGATAATCAACTTATATATATATTATAATTAAAATACACTTTTATATAATAACTGATACAATGCTAATAATTTTATTCCTGAAAATACAAATATAATCAAAATTTAAAATAAACAAAAACATAAAAATAAGGATACAATTGGGAAGGATGCTGTAGCGAGTCTGCGGGAATTAAGATATCATCAGGTGGCAGATCTGTATAAAAACTAATAGAGCTCGAGTCAGAGTCTGTCACTTTTAGTGGGCCCCGAGACACGATGCAAAAAATTTAATTGTTAAATAAGTAATACAACATAGAAATGTAAAACAATACCGATGTTGAAATTTCTTGTTAAAATTAAAAAAATAAATAACAAGCAATTATTTATTGTGACATTGTCACAATGCTGGACTGCAATTTTTAATTNTATAGGATAAAACATAAAATTTTTATTTATGATTAAACTAAGCATCGGCAGTGCAAAAAGTACATATTTTAAAAATGCTAAGAAAAAAACAGCTTTGGATGGAATTTGAGCTTGCAATTCTTGAAGAATAAACGAGTGCTAGCAGGTAATTCCATCCAACCATTCTAAATTGGATACTTTTTTAGATGTTTAAGAATTTAAATTAACACATAACCATTTACAATTGGACAATAACTAAATGTATGGTTTATTTTTCTAGAAAACATTATAATCCTAATGTGAAATAAATATTACAAAAGCGCCACTCTGATTCTCAATTAGACATCATAAAACATGCTGCTTTATTCAGAAAAGCACTTCCAAATACATAAATTCCTATAAACCAAGCACTTTCAGAGCTGTGCTCCATCTTCAAAGTTTTACCATCCATAAAAAATTACCAAATTTTTTATATTAAATCCCCTTTATTCGAGTTTTATTTTGGAAATAATAGTAATTGTGGGTTAAAAGAAAAAGGTTTTATAAGAAGAATTTGGTATTTTTAAGGATGGTAAAAACCCAAGGATGAAGCACAGTGTTAAAAGCATTTGATTTATTGGAAACAATATACTCAATCAACTACATACAATCTTGTACAGCAACAACTATGTTTATTAAACTAACTTTTCAATCATCTTCAATGATCTTTGTCAAGTTTTCTATTCAAAAATTGAACTTTGATTTTAATTGATTGATCTATTAAATGACTGAGAGGTATGCTAAAGCAGTTATTTTATGTACACAATGTATTTGGAAGTGTCTACCTGAATAAAGCAATGTGTTTTACGATTATATAAACGTAATTACAGTAAAACTTCTCTAACTCAAACGTCCGGAATATTTTTTTTAACTCAAAGAAAATGAAGCACTTGGTAGGTCTTGTACACATAATAAATTACATCTATTACATGTAATTTTTAGTTAAATTTATCTACATTTAACCTTAGTTATGTTTTTAAAGAAATCCAAGCGATATCAGTAATAACAGACAATTCACATTTAATATAAACTTAAGTTTCTAGAAAATTATAATACTTTACAGACATAGGAAGTATATAATTAGTGATCCATAATGTACAGTCAAGTTGTTTAAATTATTTTCATGTCCGAATTTCAATTTATTCTTCTTTTAATTATGTACGTAAACATTCTCTCTTCTGTTTATCATTTTCCAACTGTTTCTCACTTTGTGCCTGCTGCTGAAATTTTCTTTTTCACTATATATATTTTATTATAAGCATTTTAACTTCAAACGACACAGCCAGACTACAAATTGGCTATAACGTGACTAATCAGTTGCTAAGATACGAAGTAACTTGTAGTAGAGATAGATGGTAAGCTGCCGTCTTGTGTCAAATTTAATCATTAGAAATAAATAAATTTAATTTGGAATATCCTGAAAGAAAAGATTTCCCAGAGTCCAACTCAAACTCTTTACTTCTGCTTACCAGTTGTACTACCAGATCTCTGTTCAATATTTCCAGACAGACTAATTTGGAAGATATAACAATACCGATCACTTGCTTTAACATATGGCTGATTAAGCATATTACAATTTGATGGAAGTCCTGCCGTAATATGATTTGTGTTCATCAGAAACAATTAAAATGTTTCTGAATGTTTCTGATGAAGGAAAAGGTACCAGAAATCGTAAGTTTGGTCCCAAAATAAAAACAAAACAAATATATATTGTTTTCTGTACGCAATAACATTAATACAGAAAATATTTTAAATGTTTACCGTGTACTCCATCCTGACTACAGTTTTTGATTTTTCCTACTAATATTTCATCCAGAAATGGGCGGAAAACAATATATCTGAAATGAACTGAAATTAAAAATGTATATAATAAATTTCTTTGCAATTTAAAACTCTTGATATGTAACATTAAAATTAAAATTAAATGCAAATATAAATTTTCAAATAATTAATAATTATAGAGACCATCCAAATTTAAAGTACAGTTTTTGAGTCACCTTTGACCCTTCTTTCCCATTGCATCGAGTGATGTATTTTTGGTAAACCCCTCCACTTTAGTTATGTGTACAAAAGTTTGATGACTCCCCGACATTGAAAAAATGACTTTAAAAAGTTCTGCAAATATTTTCTAACTGATAATTTATTCACGACTTGTAAACAATCATATAACTTAAGAACAAATTTGTATACCATTAATATCAAAGGGAAACTTGTTCCTATTTAGGCATTAAACCCACAAAAAAATCCAGAACTCTACCCAGGCAGGCACTGACAAATGTAATTATGTTAGCTTCTTTACAAGTTAAAACTCATTAATACATTGTAATTATAATTGCAATTGGAAACAAATTAATTTTTACTCATTTAAGAAAAATATATGCAGTTATCATTGTTTCTACTTGGATTTATTGGTACTTTAATCAAAAAAATTGTTATGAAAGTAGAGCTTAAACATAATCCAATGATTTAACTTTACGTTTGAACATACATGTTTTAAATATTATGAGATACAGCTCAGGTTATTTAAAATCTGTTTTGATGTAATCTGGCATGTTTGCTTTCTAACAGAAAACTTTTGTTTAAATCATAAATTGTTTAAAGTCGGGGCTTGTTAAACTTTTCTATTTGCAGCTCCTTTTTATCCGAGAATATTTTACGTAACTCCTGGTATATAGATATAGGGGATTATTCAGAACTTGTGGGACAAACTTTAAGGAGTGGTAGAGCATACAACAAAAACATGTTTTGTATAGGAAAGTATGGGTGAAAGTGATGCATTAGGAGAAAAGACAAGAAATAACATATGAAGGGAAACATAAATTGCATCAAACTTCTCATGAAGACATTTGAAGGTCCTCATTTACAAGAATCCAGTCAACTGTGTTGAAGACTTCATCACTCGAATATCCATTGCTGCTCACATGGATGAGAAATACCTGGCATTTTTGAAACTGTACGCCAATCACTCTATTGACACTGCCAAGCATGTATTGCTGTTGGTGGATGCAATTTTGAGCATTATTGTAAACAATGCTGTAATGACACACACTTGTCAATGATGCTGTAAGTAAACAATTTATGTTTCCTTTCATGTGTTATTTCTTGTATTTGTTCCTCAATGCATCCCTTGTATCCATACTTTCCTATGCAAAAAATGTTTTTGTCGTGTGCTCTATCACCCCTTAAAGTTTGTCCGAGTTCTGAATCACCCTGTGTACTGTAATAGGTAATGACATACAAATAAAATCACTTACTAATAATAAATCATAATTTATTCCAAAAGAATTCTTTGATATACAAAATATTTGACCATTCATTGCTGTCTATTAAAGACAAAAGCAAATTTGCATACTAATGAGATTGACGTGTTGTTTATTTTTACATAAAGAATTATATCTTAGCTGAAAATTTGATACTGCATGATGCAAGGTATTTTCAATGTTTTTCAGAGGCGATCGATATTTGATTTGTATAATCATCAATCCAAAAATGCCACTTCACATGGCACAAAATGTCAAATTTTTCTCAACCCCCTAATTCAGTTACAGAACCCAATTTGGGGTTATGACCCTCAGTTTAAGAAGCCCTGTTTAAGTCATTGATCTAACGATTCTCATTTTCCGACATAAACACCACATTAATTTTTAAGGAATTGTAAATTTGATCAAAGCAACATAAAATGAATGTGTTTTAAGTAATAATATTTCTGTATTTATGACAGAAAGCAAGAAGTAATTAGAATTTTATTATTATATCGATGTTAGAAGGCAGTCGTGTTGAAACATATAAGACATTTTACAATCATACAATTATTCAAATGGGAAGACTTATAAGGCAATATATTTGATAGGAGAATTTCTGGCTTGAAACATAAAAACTATTGATGTTTTTAGACTAAACAGGTAACATACACTTACATATTATTGTTTGTAGTACAACAGACCTTCAATTTAACAGACAAAGAGGGAAAAAATGTCTACTAAAGCTGTGTCTCATCACTATGAAAGTTTATTTATTTAAAAATCCATGAAATATTCAAATATTTTCCCATTGCCTTTGAACATTATATTTACTCACTTTTCTGCAAGTCCAATAACAAACTACATAAAGATAAAATTTATTTTACGGAATAAATAAGATGCTTTTCTTGCTATCAAGTTATAAAAAATACAGAATAATTTATACTTTAAAAATAAAAAATACCAAACTATTCGTTAAAATCATAATAAAATTAAAAACAAGTGATATTACCTCGAGTGTGAGATGCTCCGTCTCCAGGAAATATGTACGATTCTTCTAATTTTGTAATATCGAACAATGCAATGCATAAACCAACATTCATCATCACCTAAAACATAAATTTTTGTAACATTTATTGAATATTAAATCTTATAGAAACAAAAATTACAAAAAAATATATATTATAAACTATTTTAGTTAGTGTTTTTTATATAAAGATGTTTAATGTTTATTAACTAATTTTTCGACTATATTTCTCATTAGAAAGCATTTAATGAACATCAAGATAATACTGAAGTAGATTTTTGTGTTAAGCTTTATATATACATATTAAAAAATAATTATTTTTAACACTTTTAAGCATATATGCTACTTAACAATGGGGATGATATGTTTACAGAAAAACATTGTTAAGCAATTATCATTAAGTGTACTCAGACAAGCACTTATATGTTATAGTCTACTACTCACATAAGCTATATGTAATATACAGAAAAGGTACAGATGGTCAAAAATTCTTTAGCTCCAATTTAATCTTATAGGACCTTCACTGTACAGGGTCTGACAGAAAAAGAACAATTACAAATAGAATTATTAACTTTTGAATATGTAAAAACAAATTTTCATGTACAAGATTTCAAACAACAGTTTGCCATTTATGTTTTGAAGATGATATAAGCGATCTTCATTCATGTGCAAACACTCCTCATGTCTGAAAAGTATGTGATACATAGAGTGGTACAACATATTCTTGAGTATTGTTAATTACATGAAATTTTTGCCTTGTAGATAAAGAATGTGGTACTATATATGATCATCAGCAAAATATTGAAACTCTTATGGGAAAAATTCATTATGCAATCAACATAACCAAAAATATATTGCACAACTCTATGCGTGACATACTTTGAAGACACAGTGTTTGCACATAAATGAGAATCACTCGCATCATGTCATCTACGAAACATAATGGCAAACTGTTGTTTAAAAATATTCAAAAGTTAATAATTACCTATTTATAATCACCCACTTTACTGCTAGACTGTACATTAAGCAGAACATTGTTAATCTACACATATCCATACCATTTTGTATTATAAAATGAGATAGCCAATAGTTTTGAATACGAGTGATATGAAATTGACAGTGGAAAATGACAGCAAAATTTTTGATAAATTTTTATTTTGTTTAGTGTTTGAAATACTTTCAATGGCATTTATAAATCAATAATTTTTGTTATTTTATTCCTTACTGATACATAATTTTGTATTTTTAACATGACATACACTTAACTGTAAGACTCTAATTTAGAAAAAAATATGCAATACTTGATGTCATAAAAAAACATCAAAATTATTAACCAATAATCGATTTTTTAATACGTCATTGAGAAAAATGAGAGGAACAAAGTCTCTAATGAGTTTAAGATCATTTTAATTCCTGTAAGTACAGTAGAACAACAAAATGTATTATGACCAAATAAATACAAGTCTTGGCTAAATTTATTCTCTACATTCGTTTTTAAGATTAAGATATATTTTTCCACTTCTACACCTCCAGTAACAAAGATTTTTTTGTCTTTATGAAAGAGGCTGGGTTCAAATTTTGATACGATTTCAATCGACATAATTTGATTAAATTGTAGTATGCTGTAATGTATAAACTGTAATATAAACATCAAGTAAATGGACTTTCATAGTAAAATCTATTCTTAAATAAGATGCAAAACTCACACTCATTATTTTCCAAAATATGTCTTATCAAATAAGAGGCATTACTTACATCAAACAAAAAATTAGTGATTACAGAATCACTATGCACGAGACTGTATTCTAAACTAAATTAAGTATGCTTTTAGCCAAAATGTTCAATTAAAACAAATAGCTTATCAAAACATACATATCAATCATAAACCCGATATCTTAAGCAAATACACCTACAACTGCCGGGCTATATTTTGGATATATAATATATCAAAAATATAGCACGATCATTTACGGCAATCGTAGGTGTATTTGCTTATCAAAACACTGCTAAATGAGAAGGGCTTATCACATAAATTATTCAAAATATAACTTTTATTAATAAGGGAACGCATTTAGGGTGCTCAGACCATCATCAGCCTATTTAAAGAATAGACACGTGGCAGTAAACACAATAAATATCTAAAATATTGTAACAAAAACTTTATAGACTGATATCAAAGTAACTAGGTTTACTGTGTATACAATTATATAAAATATTAAATTAACCATCGATCAGTTTTATTATTGTATTGTACAATTTTAATTAGTTTTAATTTTGTATTTTACGTAATTGTATACACAGTAAACCGAGTTATTTTGATATCAGTCTATAAAGTTTGTTTTGTTACAATATTTTAGATATTTATTGTATTTACTGCCACGCGTCTACTCTTTAAACGGACCGACGAGTGCTCCGAGCACCCTAAATGCATTCCCATATTAATAGAAGTTATATTTGAATAATTTATGTGATAAGCCTTCTTATTTAGCAATGTTTTGATAAGCTATTTGTTTTAAAGTATCCTAGAGTTGTGTTTATACTAGTGATAACACCATAGAGAAAAGACAGATTACTGTATTTAAGCTTATAGTCTTTTGTCAGGAGTGATTGTACTGTAAAAACATTTCTCAACTACACCAAGCAAAATCTAAAAACAGCTAGACTTTTAATTCAAACCATCAAACTGAAAGATTTCTAGACTAGATATATGCAGAGAATAGAAAAGTGTATAGAAATAACTTTTAAGTAACGTGTGTAAGAACTTTGTTGTTGCTGTATATAAAAGATGCTCCCACACAACAAATACTAATAATAATAATCACGTGCACAAAATAATGTAGATTACCTTATTAGCTAATTTTCTATTTAGTTCCTTTTCGATAGCAATGTTTTGCTCTAAATGAAACAGCCAAGGGGGAATACGCACCGTGTCTTTCATTTCGGCTAACACAAACATTGTCAACACGATTTATACCCTTAATTCGTTAACAATTAAAAAATATATATTTATTTTATTTATTTTTAGAACTTAAATTACTCCGTGTTCTTACAAATATATATTATAAACTATTTTAGTTAGTGTTTTTTATATAAAGATGTTTAATGTTTATTAACTAATTTTTCGACTATATTTCTCATTAGAAAGCATTTAATGAACATCAAGATAATACTGAAGTAGATTTTTGTGTTAAGCTTTATATATACATATTAAAAAATAATTATTTTTAACACTTTTAAGCATATATGCTACTTAACAATGGGGATGATATGTTTACAGAAAAACATTGTTAAGCAATTATCATTAAGTGTACTCAGACAAGCACTTATATGTTATAGTCTACTACTCACATAAGCTATATGTAATATACAGNTTATATTTAAATTGATTTTAATGGTTTTAAAATAATCGTTCATATTATTAAAGATATTTTTTAATTTTAGTCATTTCCCGAAAAAAATTAATTTACGGGGTTTCGATTTTTTTTTTTTTTTTTTTAATCTTGTGAACTTTTGGCGCTACTTCTTTGGGTAGAGAGAAAGACTGTTCCACGCCCATCGTGGGTTCGTCCGGGCCCACAACGGTGCGACCACGTGGTACAGAGCGGGGCCCCGACGTATCCAGGGGAGTTTGCCCATGAAAAATACCTCGTGTTCTCCGCTCGGATTAGATGCCGTGTCTTCGATAACCGACCTCGATCATCCGGCTTTCCATATTTTTACACTTGAAGAATTTTGTTTCAATTTTTGCGTACAATACTTCTAGTAATTACTATTTTAAAATATACAGCGGGTATTGATATACCCGATGCTATAATAATTGAAATACTTATAGTATTGTCGCCACAAGTATCAATGTACTGTATTTGTAAAATTTGTGACAGCGAAAAATACGGATGATGGCTTTGGCTGCTTCGATGTTACTTTTATAGTATCAACAACCATTCTGTTTAACTTCTGTTAAATCTGATTTATATAAAAATCTATCTACAAATTTTCATTTGAAAGTGAAAATTACTTAAACAGGTCTTCAGTAATTTAACTTACGCAGCAACGCCGCTTTTTCAAAACTCTTTCTGCCCTGTGGACAACAAACTTCTTTTTTTTTTTTTTTTTTCAGCAAGCCCATTATGGTTTGGCCAGGTCCAGAATGAAGTAGCTGTGCTCGGAGTCTAAAAATCCCCAGGAATTTTTCGGGGATGGTCCATTCCTCACCACCCGACCTGGCTGGTGTAGGCCTGGTCGAACCTATAATGGGCTTGCTAAAAGAGGCCCTCTTAGCGGTTTCCCACAGGGTTCCTGTGGGAAACCTTTCTTTTATAACCCGATAGGACTTTACAATGTCCATTTTATATAATAATAATAAATTAAATGCTAAATTTGCTTCAAATTTTTGATTTTATTCGAGCCAAAAGCATTTATAATCAGTTTGTGAAATTAAATTTGAGGAAAATAATTTTTATATGGTTTAAATAATTTTAAAAAGCGCTTTTTATTGTCATGTTTTGTTTATATTGACGAACCTTAAAATACATCACCACCAGACTTGGTAGGTCCTCAAAGTTCCGGCCTTCTATCTTAATTAGAAGTGGACGAAATTTGAGTTTCAAGATTTGAGGCCATTTTATAATAAAAAACAAAACTTACGTTTTTAACTAATAAAATATAATAGATGGCAGCACCAAATGTTGCCGGAAAAGTTAAGCAACTCGTTGCTGGATTTTTTCTTTAGGTTTAAAAATTTTTTTTCGGTTTTATATTATTGATTACATTTAATATTCGCTTTGTATAATTTAGTTTGTTTTTATGAAATCAGGTAACTGAACACACGTATGATCTGCCAAGGGAAGAACTTTTTGCGGAAACTGGCCTCTATTTAGGTGTTAGACACGTGAAGAATACACGGAAAACTCGCCCGTCGATCGGGCGCGACCAGTGTTTAATGATTTTATACCATCGGCCACCTTCGTATTATTCAAGAATCTTCATCAGTTCGATGTCAGACGCGATAACGTCTATACTAAGAGTAACGGTGGAATTTTTCGTGGGCGGTAAGACCCCGATAAGCCGTCCTCCTTAAGGGCCCGGTCGAACCCACGATTATAGATACTTATAATGCCCACAAGATGGAAAAGAGTTACTTAATACCCCGCCTACAGAGTATAATGTACGCAAAGAATGTACTGTACATTCAGCACATCGTATAACGTACGTGACTAACAGTTCGAGGTAGGTCAATAAAATCTTTCGGCAATCAATTCCTTGTGAAAGTATGACCCTAAATGATGTGTCACACCACCCCCTTCCCATTTACAGTTTCGGAGTTGCATTCAATATGGCCGCCATAAGATGGTGGCCGTGCGCGTAACACACAATCTGTTTCCCCCTGGTCTAATGTGTTCCCGACACCAGCCAATTAACTATCCTGCTACAGAATATAGAATGTACCCAAAGTGACTTTCTTTTCCAACCTGTACGTATACACCACTTGTTCTGCCACTATGCCTACACTACATAAAATTATATAGTGAAGGCATAGTGTAGGATATATCGTCACTCCACCTCCCCACCCGCTGTATCATTGTAAGTCTATGATTAAAAGGTCCTTTCAGCGATCACCAGATACGAGACGAACAAAACTATATTATTATTTTACACGTCATAACCGATCTGTACGCCACACGAGTAGACAGAGTAGCTTTATTCCACGGAAACAGAAGAGGGCGGAAGTTACTTTTAGGCCACCATTTTGTTATACTACTTAGGCCTATTCTATATTATTATTTAATACTTATTTAATTTACTAGTATGTGTATAAAATACCTAAAAGTCGGGCATTAACTTCCAACCTCTCGGAATAAAGCTACTCTGCCTTCTGACGGGGTATGGCGTCCTCTCAATCCATTCTATTAGTAGTATTAGTTGGAGTGTACGGCTCGGTCGATTTTAATTAAATTTATACCCGTAATTACAGTTTTAATTACACGGCCATCTCTAGAAGATACTAAAGAGTTAATTTTTCTTTTATTCCGTTACGAGATGCGTAAATATTGTTATAAATTATCGTGTCTTACGGTAGACGAGGTCGTAAACTCTGAAGAAATAACACCAGAAATGATAAAAAGGATATTTTATTTCGTTTCCAAATTTTTTTTTCTTTCTTTTGTATATGAATAGAAAGAGTGAAAAACTGTTTGAATTCCAAAAACAGACACTAAGATTTGACCAACGGTAAGAATACACGTGGAAAATCTCGTTTTGTTTGACTGAAAATCTCTTCCAATATAGACTTTTTGAATTGTTTTTTTTTTTTTTTTTGAAACGTTCGATGATAATCGCGATAAAAATATGAATGAAAACTGACCATTAACATTAGAAAAGATCGGATCGGTATAAACATACAGAAATTTGTTTGTTTGTTTGTTTTTTGAATAAATATATTTGGACGTCTGCGATTGGCAGACGAAATGCTTGATCCGTGATTGTTCATTGGCCGAATGGAATTGACGAATAAGATTATGAGGAGCTCCGATTCTGGACAACTATTGGTTGAATGTAAAATTTGAATTTAAAAATAAACAATTCCAACGTCTAATCCTATAAAGTGAAAAGTTTTTTGTTTGTTTGGAACGTCCCCAAAAATTTTAATTTTAAAATAGTTTTTTTTTTTCTAAATATAGAAGTTCTAAAGATTAATTTTTAACGACTGGAAAAATATTAAAAAGTGGGAATTTAAGAATATCAATTATAAATATTTAGAAACAATTATTATTATTATTATTATTATTTTGTTTTTCGTTTTAAATGTCTACCACTAATTCTACTTACTTAAAAAATTAATTTGTTTTTTTAAATATTCGAAAGTTAATCATAGAAAAACTATTTCCCCCCCCCCCGTTGGGTTTAAATTTATTATAAGATTTGTAAAAGTTGTTCCCTACGTATCCTTTATTTTTATATTTGGAAAAGTTTTATATAGTTCTTAGGGACAGACAGACGGGTAGAAAACTATTTTTAAAACGTCCGGTTTTTCTCTTTCTCCGTGTTTAAAATACACCAAACGACACTCGGCACCTCCGCCGAGCCGCCATTTTGTTTTTTTTTTCTTTCTTTCTTTGAGTGGAACTTATGGCACTACCGAGACAGAAACGATCCGTTAGAAACAAGCGTATTTACAGTGAATTGTATCAAAGAAAAAAAAAAAAAAAAAAAACATATTTTTAAAATACGATAAAGTCTAAACCAATATGACAAAGCACCGATCAAGCATTCTGCAGGTTCGACCGAGGTACCGATACATCGAATTTAGCAAAATTCAAAATACTGTGACGTATACGTTCGGGAAGGACAACTTTGTACAACTTGTGTTTTCTTCTCAGGTTTTTGTTAGAAATATTAAGGGGTATTTTCTTTTGGTTTCCTTTTTTATATATTATGTATTTCTGGCTGTACAGTAAGAATTCATATGATGGATTCTTGGTTCCTTTCGTTTATGTCGGGGCTGTCGCTGCTGGTGGTGGTGGTGCCGCTGTTTCCGCCGCAGATGTGCATCTCGATTTCTGCCAGACGGTTCTCCACCTCCCACTGTTGTTGGTTCAGTTTCATGCTCATTGTGGCGTTTTCGGCTTCAAGTATGACCAATCTCTCTCTGAGTCGCTTGATTTCCGCCAGTAGAGCCTCTCGCGTGCCGTCGGTGGGGGTGGGAGAGGGGAAGGAGAAACGCGTGTAAGACAACAAGTTCATCTGAGACAGCGACGTCACCGTGGTCTTGGGCTGTTCCGTCGACAGATCCGTGGCGTACGAGTGCAGACTGTCCGAATACGGCGTGTACATTACGTGCGGTGTGGCGGACAGGGGTTCGTGTTGATCGGTTTTGGTTTCCTGGTGGCTCTCCATGCTGCTCAGACTGGTCTGATCCCGTAGAGGGCTCGATTTGTCCCCTTCCGACATTCTGCTGCTCCTTTGTCCCGCAATTTCCATCTCTTCCAACGGAACTTTCCCTCTGGATTCTACTAATCCCGGGGTGCTACGGCATCTTCCCATGGCGACTGTAAAACGTTCTGGTATGAGTATTACGCAAATCTTTTCTATTATACTTAAAAAGACTATCGTTAACATCAAAATATCAATAGAAACCACGATTTTCCACGAAACACTAAGAGAATTTTAACATTAAACAATGCTGGACTGCAATTTTTAAATTTATTTAATAGAAATAAACGCTTTCCACCCGAAATTAGTAGTGTCTTGTCCCCGTACGTAACACTTTTCCTGTTATCAAGCGCCTGTACATCATACTTTTCCTGTTAGCAAGAGAATTATGCCGTCATCTAACTCATCACAGGGGAAATATTTTGAATTGAAATAACGTGACTTATCGGAAGTTCGTATATATAGTTATTCGGGGATTTCATTTATCTAACTTCATTCTCGAGATTAAGAATTAAGTTATTAAGGGCGAGTCTCTCTCACTGCTAGGAAGTAATTTAAACAACCGATGGAATTATAAAAGCCATACGTATCTTAAAATGCCGTTTATAAAAATAGGAAACGGCTACAATTAAAACACAGGAAATGCAATTACTAGTCATGGACTTGAAGAGCAAACTAAGGACAGAAGCTGGTTTTTAACCGCGAATAAAACGAGTTGTTTATAAAGAAAAGAAAAAGGGACTTACTCTTCCTGAGCGGTTCCTTTTTGTATTTCTCTAGTCTCTTGACGGCGATGGCTTCCAGTCGAACGCGTGCCGCCGGATAATACTTGAGAACTTCCCACATGTCGTGCTTGTAGAGACAAAACAAATCGGAATAGCCGACGGATCTGACAGAAGCGGTCCTTCTGTTACCGGCCGTGCCCATGTTGAGAATGCTAATCTCTCCAAAATAGCTTCCTGCTCGAAGAGTGGCGAGAACCGTCCTTCCGTTGTCTGCAACGACTTGGAGTCTCCCTCGGTTAACTATATACATCTCTTTGCCTACTTCTCCTGCGCGAGTCGGATAATTAGCACGGACAATTAGTAACATGAGAAAAGGGAGAGGGGAGGAATACTTACCCTTTCTGCAAATGTAATCCCCCGGACTGAACAGAACCGGTCTCAGTCTGAGTACGAGTTCGCAAAGAAAGCCCGCCTCTGTATTCTGGAAGATTTCTACCCTTCTTAGAGTGTCGAGATGGACGTGGATGGCAATTTCCGCCTTCAGCTTGTCGGGTAGACAACCCACGGACCTCTCTTCGTCGGAGCACTTCTGCGTCATCCACAGGTAGTCGAACCAACGAATCACCTTGTTCTGGATGCGATCGCTCACTCTTCTCATCCTCATGTAAGTCTTTACTGCGTCTAACTTTGCTAAAGAACCAATCGGAATCCGCATCTCAGCCCTTAAGTAAAGGCATTTAAACGCTAATCCTTCGTCTTAAATGTCTAATCTATGCCTTATTCCTCGCCAGAAACGTCGCCAAAAGCGAAGTTTCCCGGAAAATCGAACGGACGACGCCTTTCCGGAATTTTAAAAAATTTTGGCAGCTTTTCCGAGAAGAAGAAGAAGAATATTTTAATTTTTCGGCTTTCGCTCGAGGGAGGGGGGAAGGAAACTAACGGAGTTGCGAAATTTTATTGCCGTAGTAAAATAAAATTTTGCCCGCAATCATCCGCATACTACACTCCGATAACGGACCGAAATGTCAGAACGCCGCCCAAATTAATCTACTTCCTCTACGTCACTTCCGAATGCACTCGTATCCAGGTACCGAGCACCTTTATATCTTCGGGTGACGTGACGTTGTTAATTCGAAAAGACGAAGCGAATTTTTCGGTGTTTAAAACGGCGTGTAGAAATATTCTCGGAGAATTCGAATCGATAAAAACGAAAACTTTAGAAAAAACGCTGCATTAAAATTTCATTCCTTCCGGAAATTTCTGTTTATTTATAGAAGGGAAGAGGATGAGGAGGAGGAGAAGCGATCCTCGATAAACTCTTGTTTTCGTGCCAACCTATTAAATTATTCTCTTAGTTTTAGAAAAATATTAATGGCAGAGATTAAAAATTTCTCTTCGTTTTGCCAATTCTTCGAAATAACTGCTACGTTACTTAAGCTATAAACTCGCTCGATCTGATTTGAAATATTAATTTTATTTATTCTCTCGAAAGCGTCGTTACCGTTAACGGAAGGCGCGGGTTCGAATCCCTCCTTCCGTTAACGATAGAAAGAAAAATCCGTCCGTTACACCGGCCTTGGAAAAGTCCGCTACTAAATCATTATCTAGCAATAATTACGTTTACGTAACGAATCGGTGGCGATATTACGTGACTCTAACGAAAGTGCGTGCCCAGTTTTCCGGAAAGACGTCACTCGTTACTCGCAATGTTTGCTAAGTTACTTACGCGCGTTTGTTACGTAACGTTACCTTACGTAACGCGTAACGATATAAAATATTTCGTCCTCGAAACTCGTTTCGTAACCCGACCAATGACAACTTCGTTTCGTATAAAACGAACAGTCGTTGGCCCGCCGGCCACCTACTACTTAAAACCCCGACCCGACACGTCTTTCTTTATTAAACCGGCGAAGCAATTTCGAAACTTCTATTTTTTTTTTTTTTTAAGTTGGATTTTCCGCAGAAAATTCGATTCTAGGATACGAGAAGAGAAACACTCGCGGCGAATGGAAATGTCAAGAACCTCCTTGTTATATTAGATAATGTTACGGGTCTAGGGCATTCTCACTCGGAATTTCGAGAATAGACGTGTGGCACCCCCGAATTAGATAATGGATCTCTACACGCACGTAACATCCTACGAAGTGGTGTCGCGTGTAAACAATTCCTAATCGATGCTAATTAGCTTTGTCTAATAAATAAAATCGATAGATACAACCGTAAGATAAATTTACTATAAGAAATTCTAAACGAACAGACCAAATAATAATAATTGCAATCCTTAGAGACTAACGCGTCTTAGATTATAATTTGCATACTCCTGCTGCTTTGAGTAATTTTACGGGCGGTGTTAAAAATTTCTAGTGTTTAATATAGTAAAGATTCTACTCAAAACTACAAAAAAAAAAAAAAAAGACATTTAAACTTGTAGACCCGTCATTAGATCTATCGAATTCTCCAAAAATAAACCGAGAAAAGGATCTATAGAAGTCCCAACAGAAACATCATACTTGCTTCGTATGACGGGGAGGAGAGAAAGGCGTGGTGACCTCGTCTTTCACTATCAAACGGCAGAAACCTTTCGCAAGGTGACACGAGCCAATTAATTCCCCCCCCCGGCAGTTCGATTTTGCCACTTTTCTCTTATTTGTTAAAATGTAAATCAAACTGTCGAAGCGAACTTGGCTTAAATCTGGAACAATAAGGAGCCAAGAATATTCTCTACTAATTGGGAGATTATCGTAGATTTAGTAAATTAAAGTGGCGTTTAGGAAACGAGAAAAGAACACGGGATAAGGCCGAAGCAATAATTAAAAATAAACTACAGAAAGAGAGAAGAAATAAAAGGAAAGTACGATTCATTTCTAGCGTCCAACGTAAGACAAAGCAATCAATTCGAGTGTCATCGGCCGTGTTGTCACTGTTTTCGTAAGGATAAAAGAATGGCGTGTGTCGACCGAATCGTCGTTAAACAGTTATTAATTTAATTCGGCGTCGAAATTCTATGTGAAAAGATTATTTTTCGAAGCAAAAGCGGGTAGTGGTAGTAGTAGTAGTTTGGGAAACACTACCTCTACCGCATTCTCGTGTTTAAAGGAGAATCGATGAAATCCCAATTACCCGAAGCTACGATATTAAAATTCGAATTTTTAGGGAAATAAGTTAAAAATACTTATTTAAACGTGGAAAATAATTCGTAATTAGAACAGAGTAAAACGTTTTTTTTTTTTTGTGTGTCTTTTTAAAAAAAACGGGACGGCAGGCGGCGCCACCGGTAACAATGGCTATGTGGACGGGTTGGGAATTACGTAAACGAGTCAATTTTGTTTATTTTAATTAAGAGAACGACCGCGAAATGTCTCTGTCTTGCTTTTTTTGATTAGCGAATTTACTAGAATTTTGCGAAATTTTACTAAACGACGCGTTGTATTTCCGCGCTAGCGCTTAAAAGACAGAATAATAATAATAATAAGTCGGGAGACTGACCTTGAAACTCTTTCCTGGCGGCACTGACGTTGGTGACGATGTTGGCCACGTGTCCCAAAACGGCAGAGAACAATAGCAAACCGAGTATGAGTTCCAAGACGAGAAACACGTATTCACCTTTAGTCCTCGGTCCCGGTAAGTCACCTATGGTGGAGAGAGCTAAGGTGCTCCAGTAGAAGGCATGGAGGTATTCGCACGTGACGTCGTTACATCCGTCGTCACGAGGACTAAACCAGTCGCGCGATCCGAACCCACCGTTCTTAGAAATTATTTGGAAGAAACAAGCATTCCAATGAAATATCACCAGGAGATAGTGAACGAGCGAAAGACCGCGAAAGACGTTGGGATAATTGGTGTGTCGTTCGGTTCTGTCGAGGAAGGCCCAAAACTTGTAGATCTTGACCAGGCGAAAGCAGCGAAGGATCGAGTTGAATCCGATGGACAGATAGAGGAAGTCGAGAGGCAGAAGACACAGACAATCGATGTAGAAGGTGGTGGAGTTCATGTAGTGCTGTCTGAGTTTGACCGACTCGGTCTGCAGCACCCCCTCTTCCAAGTATCCGGTGCGGAAGTGAAAGACCACGTCCAGAACGTATAGGAAGTCGGCGAAATAATCCAGGGTGAACCAACCCACCACGTTGTCCTCGTTGATCTCCCGAAAGGCGAACCTGTAGATCATGGCCCAGAAGTTGTACAGGAAAGCCACGCTGACCACCATCGACCAATAGTAACACAGGCGACCGGAAGGGTCGAAGACGAACGTCCAATTGCAGGCGGGCCCGTCGCTGCCGGACGTCGACGTCTCCCACTTCTCGAACTCCCGTTTGATCTCTTTCCTCCTCAACTCTCGCGTCTTTCGAGGGATCTCCAGGTCCGAGCCCACGTGGGCCCTGTTGACGTAGGCCATGGACTCCAGCGCCTGGGGCTTGGCCTCGCCGCCGTAGAACCTCTTGGTGATGGTCTCCAGCAGCGACTGTCTGGACCCCGACTTCTTGACGTTGTCTCCGCTCAGCGCCGAGTACAGCGACAGCGACGTGTAAATCCTGGCATTGTTCTTGCCGTCCACCAGGCACGAGCGCTCGTCCCCCGACGAGGTGATGATGCCCGGCACCAGACGTGGCCCGTTGGCCGTCAACCCCCCGCTGCCGTAAGTGACGTTTTCGGGCGCGGCGTTGCTGACCACGGCTATTTCGTCGCGGTCGTCGTCGCCCTGCGACTCCTGCTTGCTGCTGCACGGCGTGTACTTCACCAGCTTGCTGACGTCCCGCCCGTGTCTCAGCACCGGAATCTTCCTCATCCTTCCGTCGATTACCACGCGCCGTCCGGAAGCGGACGATTTTCACCCCAGAATTCGCATCCGTGTCGATGGAACGGCCTGGAAGACGACATTACGATGCGGCGGCGGCTGCTCCACCGGAAATCCATGCTCTGTCCGGCATCCTCCGCATCGCACCTACCTACTGCTTGCGCGTCATGGCGGACGATTCGCAGCGCCTCGTCGCGTCGCCCGACCACTGCCTCCTCCGCATCTCTCCTTAATTCCAATTACGCTTAATACGTTAAATTCTTAAATTAATTTAAACCTCTCGGCCCAATCCTTTAAATAATAATAATAAAATAATCATTTATTAGAAATCGTCTCTCTGCCGGGGAAAAAAACCGGCGCAACAATTTTTTTTTATTATTATTATTTCTTTTTTTTTTTCTTTATAAGAGAGAAATTCACTCCACAATTTTCTAATATTAACAAGAATAAATACAAATAAGTGTCGCCGCGACACTCACGATAACATCGATTCTTTTTGTCTCGTTTAATTATTTTAAGGGTGCAGAATGTTAATTAATTAGTCTCGTTATTTATTAAGAATATTTAAGGGTGTGTGTGTGTATATATATATATATTTATTTATACGATGGTGTGTGTATACGGTATACGGGTGTGATGTATCTACAGCAACTAGTGCGCATTTTTATATAAAAATCTCTCCTCCTACACGTTATAAAATTCAATTTACACGGATTAATAATTTAAAAAACGTTGTACAAAAGTACGATAACGTAAAAATAACGACGATGGGAACGATAAACTCAAATGTATTTGGAAGAGGAAGGGCCCAGGGAGCTGCTCTTGATCTTGGCGCCGGCCTTGGGCACTTTGCCGGACACCGAGGGATCCTGAAAAAAAAAAAAAAAAAAAAAAAAAAAAAAAAAAAAAAAAAAAAAAAAAAAAAAAAAAAAAAAAAAAAAAAAAAAAAAAAAAAAAAAAAAAAAAAAAAAAAAAAAAAAAAAAAAAAAAAAAAAAAAAAAAAAAAAAAAAAAAAAAAAAAAAAAAAAAAAAAAAAAAAAAAAAAAAAAAAAAAAAAAAAAAAAAAAAAAAAAAAAAAAAAAAAAAAAAAAAAAAAAAAAAAAAAAAAAAAAAAAAAAAAAAAAAAAAAAAAAAAAAAAAAAAAAAAAAAAAAAAAAAAAAAAAAAAAAAAAAAAAAAAAAAAAAAAAAAAAAAAAAAAAAAAAAAAAAAAAAAAAAAAAAAAAAAAAAAAAAAAAAAAAAAAAAAAAAAAAAAAAAAAAAAAAAAAAAAAAAAAAAAAAAAAAAAAAAAAAAAAAAAAAAAAAAAAAAAAAAAAAAAAAAAAAAAAAAAAAAAAAAAAAAAAAAAAAAAAAAAAAAAAAAAAAAAAAAAAAAAAAAAAAAAAAAAAAAAAAAAAAAAAAAAAAAAAAAAAAAAAAAAAAAAAAAAAAAAAAAAAAAAAAAAAAAAAAAAAAAAAAAAAAAAAAAAAAAAAAAAAAAAAAAAAAAAAAAAAAAAAAAAAAAAAAAAAAAAAAAAAAAAAAAAAAAAAAAAAAAAAAAAAAAAAAAAAAAAAAAAAAAAAAAAAAAAAAAAAAAAAAAAAAAAAAAAAAAAAAAAAAAAAAAAAAAAAAAAAAAAAAAAAAAAAAAAAAAAAAAAAAAAAAAAAAAAAAAAAAAAAAAAAAAAAAAAAAAAAAAAAAAAAAAAAAAAAAAAAAAAAAAAAAAAAAAAAAAAAAAAAAAAAAAAAAAAAAAAAAAAAAAAAAAAAAAAAAAAAAAAAAAAAAAAAAAAAAAAAAAAAAAAAAAAAAAAAAAAAAAAAAAAAAAAAAAAAAAAAAAAAAAAAAAAAAAAAAAAAAAAAAAAAAAAAAAAAAAAAAAAAAAAAAAAAAAAAAAAAAAAAAAAAAAAAAAAAAAAAAAAAAAAAAAAAAAAAAAAAAAAAAAAAAAAAAAAAAAAAAAAAAAAAAAAAAAAAAAAAAAAAAAAAAAAAAAAAAAAAAAAAAAAAAAAAAAAAAAAAAAAAAAAAAAAAAAAAAAAAAAAAAAAAAAAAAAAAAAAAAAAAAAAAAAAAAAAAAAAAAAAAAAAAAAAAAAAAAAAAAAAAAAAAAAAAAAAAAAAAAAAAAAAAAAAAAAAAAAAAAAAAAAAAAAAAAAAAAAAAAAAAAAAAAAAAAAAAAAAAAAAAAAAAAAAAAAAAAAAAAAAAAAAAAAAAAAAAAAAAAAAAAAAAAAAAAAAAAAAAAAAAAAAAAAAAAAAAAAAAAAAAAAAAAAAAAAAAAAAAAAAAAAAAAAAAAAAAAAAAAAAAAAAAAAAAAAAAAAAAAAAAAAAAAAAAAAAAAAAAAAAAAAAAAAAAAAAAAAAAAAAAAAAAAAAAAAAAAAAAAAAAAAAAAAAAAAAAAAAAAAAAAAAAAAAAAAAAAAAAAAAAAAAAAAAAAAAAAAAAAAAAAAAAAAAAAAAAAAAAAAAAAAAAAAAAAAAAAAAAAAAAAAAAAAAAAAAAAAAAAAAAAAAAAAAAAAAAAAAAAAAAAAAAAAAAAAAAAAAAAAAAAAAAAAAAAAAAAAAAAAAAAAAAAAAAAAAAAAAAAAAAAAAAAAAAAAAAAAAAAAAAAAAAAAAAAAAAAAAAAAAAAAAAAAAAAAAAAAAAAAAAAAAAAAAAAAAAAAAAAAAAAAAAAAAAAAAAAAAAAAAAAAAAAAAAAAAAAAAAAAAAAAAAAAAAAAAAAAAAAAAAAAAAAAAAAAAAAAAAAAAAAAAAAAAAAAAAAAAAAAAAAAAAAAAAAAAAAAAAAAAAAAAAAAAAAAAAAAAAAAAAAAAAAAAAAAAAAAAAAAAAAAAAAAAAAAAAAAAAAAAAAAAAAAAAAAAAAAAAAAAAAAAAAAAAAAAAAAAAAAAAAAAAAAAAAAAAAAAAAAAAAAAAAAAAAAAAAAAAAAAAAAAAAAAAAAAAAAAAAAAAAAAAAAAAAAAAAAAAAAAAAAAAAAAAAAAAAAAAAAAAAAAAAAAAAAAAAAAAAAAAAAAAAAAAAAAAAAAAAAAAAAAAAAAAAAAAAAAAAAAAAAAAAAAAAAAAAAAAAAAAAAAAAAAAAAAAAAAAAAAAAAAAAAAAAAAAAAAAAAAAAAAAAAAAAAAAAAAAAAAAAAAAAAAAAAAAAAAAAAAAAAAAAAAAAAAAAAAAAAAAAAAAAAAAAAAAAAAAAAAAAAAAAAAAAAAAAAAAAAAAAAAAAAAAAAAAAAAAAAAAAAAAAAAAAAAAAAAAAAAAAAAAAAAAAAAAAAAAAAAAAAAAAAAAAAAAAAAAAAAAAAAAAAAAAAAAAAAAAAAAAAAAAAAAAAAAAAAAAAAAAAAAAAAAAAAAAAAAAAAAAAAAAAAAAAAAAAAAAAAAAAAAAAAAAAAAAAAAAAAAAAAAAAAAAAAAAAAAAAAAAAAAAAAAAAAAAAAAAAAAAAAAAAAAAAAAAAAAAAAAAAAAAAAAAAAAAAAAAAAAAAAAAAAAAAAAAAAAAAAAAAAAAAAAAAAAAAAAAAAAAAAAAAAAAAAAAAAAAAAAAAAAAAAAAAAAAAAAAAAAAAAAAAAAAAAAAAAAAAAAAAAAAAAAAAAAAAAAAAAAAAAAAAAAAAAAAAAAAAAAAAAAAAAAAAAAAAAAAAAAAAAAAAAAAAAAAAAAAAAAAAAAAAAAAAAAAAAAAAAAAAAAAAAAAAAAAAAAAAAAAAAAAAAAAAAAAAAAAAAAAAAAAAAAAAAAAAAAAAAAAAAAAAAAAAAAAAAAAAAAAAAAAAAAAAAAAAAAAAAAAAAAAAAAAAAAAAAAAAAAAAAAAAAAAAAAAAAAAAAAAAAAAAAAAAAAAAAAAAAAAAAAAAAAAAAAAAAAAAAAAAAAAAAAAAAAAAAAAAAAAAAAAAAAAAAAAAAAAAAAAAAAAAAAAAAAAAAAAAAAAAAAAAAAAAAAAAAAAAAAAAAAAAAAAAAAAAAAAAAAAAAAAAAAAAAAAAAAAAAAAAAAAAAAAAAAAAAAAAAAAAAAAAAAAAAAAAAAAAAAAAAAAAAAAAAAAAAAAAAAAAAAAAAAAAAAAAAAAAAAAAAAAAAAAAAAAAAAAAAAAAAAAAAAAAAAAAAAAAAAAAAAAAAAAAAAAAAAAAAAAAAAAAAAAAAAAAAAAAAAAAAAAAAAAAAAAAAAAAAAAAAAAAAAAAAAAAAAAAAAAAAAAAAAAAAAAAAAAAAAAAAAAAAAAAAAAAAAAAAAAAAAAAAAAAAAAAAAAAAAAAAAAAAAAAAAAAAAAAAAAAAAAAAAAAAAAAAAAAAAAAAAAAAAAAAAAAAAAAAAAAAAAAAAAAAAAAAAAAAAAAAAAAAAAAAAAAAAAAAAAAAAAAAAAAAAAAAAAAAAAAAAAAAAANCAAAAAATGTAAAACTATCTCAAAACATTATAGAGACATGTTGTCCTATCCTTAATGTCTAGGATTGATGATGCATCATAAAAATGTTTTGGTTTATTGTTTTCTAGCATTAAACAATAGTTTTAAATTATAAAAAAGGTTATGAAAACAATTTGGAGAATTTTAAGAAATTCTAATACAATCATTATACACATCCAATAATGATTTAATTTATTCTAAGTTTATGTGTAGACCAATGTTCCCTCTAATTTTTTTTGTCGATGAGTCAATTAGTCGGACCATTTGTAATGGCCACTCGGGTGACATTGATATTAAAGTCCTCTTGGCACTCGTGGGGCAGAAAAAGTCAAAAACGGAAAAAGGAACATTCTTATTTTGGAATGCAATTTATATTTTATTCATAATATTTTATAGTTGAGCAAAAAAAAATTTTGCTGAGCAGATTCTGAGCAAAAAATTTCTCTGATCATATATAGCCTATATAAAATCTTATTTTTTTCTATAAAAATTAAAATAATTAATTATAAAGTAGAGATTAAAATTAATTTTAAAACATACTTTTATACAAAATATTATCTCTTGTCAATGATTTAATGTATTTAATCGAAATATACATAGCAATAATCATGTTGCAGACAGAGTGAGAAATAAGTAAACAACAATTCAAATCGGTGTGCATGCTTGCCTGCACGGCACAAATTCTCATGCGTGGCAACAATTTGACCAGTGCTCAGCTTAGAGGGAACATTGGTGTAGACACAATGTTCATCGGATACAAATGGTGACAAACAACTATAAAATATTATGAATAAAATATAAATTGCATTCCAAAATAAGAATGTTCCTTTTTCCGTTTTTGACTTTTTCTGCCCCACGAGTGCCAAGAGGGCTTTAATATCAATGTCACCCGAGTGGCCATTACAAATGGTCCGACTAATTGACATGGACCACCCACAAAATAATCTGGGTTCACTTTGATTCCGGGTCCCTCCAAGTGGTAGGCCAATGCCTTGACCACCAAGAATGTATTTTATTATTTTAGTATTTACTATTTAGCATTCCAATATTAATTACTTGATGATAAATTTTTTTTATTTTGTTATTAAATTCCAATATCTAATTGCTGCAAATGCATTTTGATTTTTGTATATTTTGTTTTTTTTTGCTATATACAATAAAGAATGCTCGTTGAAATCAATTTAGTTTAGTAAATATTATACTTAAACTAATATTAAACATAAATAAAACTTAAAAAGATTGTTTGCGCGGGTGTCGTTTATATCATTTTGGACAGACTCCATTAATTGCAAAAACTCACCTTCCGTTTCTCTGACGTCTATTACTTTTTTGATGTGCGAGAGATGTAATAATTCTATGTGTTTGAAATTCTTGAATGTGCTTCTGCTGTTCGTGCTTAAATTAATCGTGCCGGGACTTTTTACTGTGCTTGACGTTTTATTTCTTTTCTTGCATATCTGGAAATCAAGATTTGCAAAGTTTTAGATTATCGGTTTTTATTTTAATTATGGCAATTCTTCCCTTTATACAATTATAAACATAATAGATTCCAAAAAAAGTTTAAAAACAAAATAAAATTATTTAATGGTTTATAAGGAAAAGAGATAATTAAGTGTTATTATCTCATTTCTTTATTCTCTTGGAGTATTCAATGTAGTCTTATGTCTTAATAGTAAGCAATTTTCAACTTAGATTTATACTCTAAAAAATGTGCATACATTTATTTTTTGACTTTTTTATACATTCAATATTGTTTTGGTAAGCACAAAACAATGTATTGAATGTATGAAAAAGTCGTATTTGATTTATATAACTACATAGAAAACTAAGACCAAATTATCACATTGGCCCGAATATTAGTTGATGGTTTTTTCTAGTTTTAAAAAAAGTGCTAAAAATTGTTCTCGACCCATATTTGAACCCGATTAACAGTTTTCTTTGATTTAGATAACTGTCTGTGATTACAGAGTTGTTCAAATTCAAAATTCACTTATGCCAACTGTACAGTAGATCCCCCTATAAGACGGTAGATACGTTCCGTTCTTTATGAATCAATTTTGTAGGAATCATAGTTTACGGACTACGGCTGTTTGAAAGGTTTTCTTTCATAAAATTAATCGATTCTAGACTAATTCGACTCAACATTTCCAAAATACGTATATTTTTTTGAAAATAATCCGTATAAACTACGTTATAAACAAAAAATTGTAGGATTGCTTACCGAGTGTGTACCGTTCGACTACGCCCGTTGCTAAAGCTTGGTTTCGTCGCGGAACAGCGCATCAAATTGCGGCCGCGATTTCTGATATTATTTTTCTGCGAAAACTTCGTTGACCTTTGGAGACATCATTAATATAAATAATTTTTATGGCCGTTAAATAAGAAATGTTTCTTTCACAAGAAATGTATAAAATTACAGTACTAAACAGACGATAGGTCGCCTAACTCGCCGTAGCGTGACGCTAGACGGCGAAAAATATATATTTAATTATAATAAAGTTACAATAAATTAAGTTAATATATAATTATATATACAGTACCTAATTTATATATAATTAATATATAATTATATGTACAGTACCTAATTTATATATAATTAATATATAATTATATGTACAGTACCTAATTTATATATAATTTATATAATACTGTCCAGACGATAGAAATCTCTCCGTAGCGTGGCGCTACGGACGGCGGGTAAGTAGTTCGGCTGCCCGATGACGTTTTACGTATTATAGGAGTTATTTTTACCGTTGTTTACGGATACTGCCACAATTTTTATAGGAATCATAACTATAGGAAACGGTTTTATAGGGGGATCTACTGTACTGCCACAATTTTTATAGGAATCATAACTATAGGAAACGGTTTTATAGGGGGATCTACTGTATTTACAAATGTCTGTGGATCAAATTAATGAAATAGGAATGGGAATGATGACGAATGTTCTAACAAAGAAAAAAAAAAGACAAAGTTTTGATTCAATTGAAAAATAAAGTATTAATTTATACTTGGGTCCAAATTATTTTTCAAAAAGTAAAGAATTCCAGAACAGGAATTGACTTATATTTGGGCCAATACATTATATTAATAATCCAGTAATAAAGCTGGATTTATAACTGAGCCACAACTGTAATTAATTTAATATTTGGAGTGCTTTAAAAAATGTTAACACTTATAGGAGAAGGTGCACGTCTGTTACAGTGGTGATATTAAAGCCGTACTTTTGGAGAACTCCACAACTGTGTTGCAACTTGCTGCACATGAAAGAACTACACAGAGGACACTACCCTAAATCTGGCATAACAAGTTACTTCATATTGATGTTAATGTGTTTTTCAAGTACTCTGTATTAAATTATATAATAATTTAATATATTTAGCCCACAATTCTCAAATTGCAGACTTATACACTCCCACTGTCCTTTGTTGTTCTTAAAAGTGAAGTCAGATAGATTAAAATTCAGACCAGATATGGAAAGCTTGATAGCCAGAGGCCCCAATTTACTATATATGAACTTCTAGGCTGAACTGGAAGTCACATGATTTCAATTCAAAGATTTTCTTGAGAATGATGTTAGATGCCCCTGTACATCATACTTCTCCTTACAGCAAGTGCTATCAAGGAGAAGTATGATGTACAGGGCAAGATATTATCATATCTGGTCTCAATTTTAGTAAACTTAGTTTAAATTAAAGTATGATTAAAAAATATCAGCCTGGCATTGTGACAATACCACAATAAATTTGTCAATTTTTCTTACTGAAATGCCATTTTTGGATATGTTGACTGAAGACAGAGACTTTATCCTACAGATAGATGCCCCATCCCATTTCCACAGTAATATTCACGTGTACCCAAATGAGGAACTGTTGCATCATCGAATTGCCAGCGTGTTGGCACGTAAACTGGCTACTCGGGTCACAAGACTTGACCCCATGCGACTTCTTGTGGAATTATGTAAAGAAAAGAGTGTGCATACTACCCCTACTACAGGATCTCCAGGATTGTGACATTGCATCATAGCTGCCATTGCTACAATCAATCCCAGGTATGCTGGGTTGGGTATGAAGAAAAATGGACTATGGGACAATGATGTGCATCATGTGACTAAAGATGGACACATTTAATATTTGTAAGATGTGGAAACATAATTCAGCTGATACATCTTCATTTTGTGGGCATTTGACGATAAGCCTATGTCTCCTTGTGAAAATAAAATTCATCTGTGATGCTTCATGGTTTGTGAACACCTCATATTACACATAGCAGCAGTGACCAGCTAAGTATACTTTGTGAGCCACGCTTAAAAAGCAAGAGAGAAAGAAAAATCCTGAAATATATTAAAATTTAAAGTGAGACAATGTAGGACTGCAATGTTTTGTGATCTAACATTATTATTATTAAGAAGGGCATACAGAAGATAAAGAACATTTGGCTATAAAAAAAAAAAAAGCAGTAACAATAGGAAGAAGATTTGAATAATTAGTACAAGACCAGTTACTTTTCTACATGGTCACCATTATGATTAAAGCACTTGTTATAGCACAACACATTTTTTGATTCCTATGTCATAGACTTCTACTGCTAGTTCTTTCATATAGTTAGTGATAGCTTCTTTTACCTCTCATCCATTCCAAATCCATAAAAAAAACTCTTTCAGCTTGGGAAAGAAATGAAAGTCACTGGGGACCAGGTCGGTATTGTATGGTGTGTGGTCGAAAACATCCCAGCCAAATTTCTAAAGGATAGCTTGAGTGGCTGCAGTAGTGTGCGGTCACTCTATCTTCCTTGATTAAATATCAATTTCTCACTCTTGCTTTGTTCATAATGTGATTGCCATTCACTTCCGTGATTTGTTTATAAATTTCTATAGGACGAACTTTCTTCACATTTAGAAAACTAACAATACTTTACAGGATTTTCTATTTTTGTACACATTTTAACCCTCAACAAAACAGTAACAATAAATACTATGACACACTTCTTGTCTAGTCTTGGTATAAACTTGTGAGCACTATGTTGGCCTTTCTTTATTACTAGACTTATTACAAATATCGTGATTTTACTGTACATTTCATAAATGTAGTATCATTTTCATAAATATTTATGTTATAAAAAGTTGATGAGGGACTTAAGGTTTGAAATGCATTCTTTTTGAAAAATAAAGTCCACCAGCTTTTTATAACATAAATATTTATGAAAATGATACTAACCACATTTACGAAATGTACAGTAAAATCACAATGTTTGTAATAAGTCTAGAATAAAGAAAGGCCAACATACTGCTCACAAGTTTATACAGTAACAATAAGTCTGCCATTATAGAAATTCTATACTTGCTAACACCTCAAAGAACAAATTGACCTTGAATCAATGGCAATAATTTACCCTCACAAAGTGCCACATGCAAACATTATTTTCTTGATGTCCCTTGTATATTTTTAAAATCATTTTTGCACACATCATGTAGTATATTATAGCCAAGCAACAATGCTTGTTCATGGATGAAAAAGTATCATTAATAAGTATTTTTTAATTTCTTTCTTTCCGCAAACACATTCACACACATTAATTCTATATACAGTATTGTATATTACAGTAATATTTGAATCTTTGCAATTTTTGTTACAAGCTTACCAATATACTGTATTACAGTTATTGAAAAAGAACTTAAGATTATCAATAGTTCATCTTGTTTTACAGATATAATAAACCCTTAAATTTCTTGCACTGTAGATGTTTTAAGACATCAGAAAGTATTTTAATAATATGAAAAAGAAATGTTTTTGGAACATTTACAATTCTGGCATCAATCTATATGACATAAATAACATAACATTCTAAGTCAAAATATTCTGTTAGAAATGTAAAATCTATAAGCACGAATCTGAATGACAATTAAAGTTGACCAATTCAACTTTATTTTGACAGACAATAATATAATCTTTAATGAATGTGACTTTAACATTTGATTATTAACAAAATGTGGGCTTGGTATTCTATATGAGAAATGTTACAAACACATAAGTTGCACAAGACAAAAAAATTTCTTGAAGTATTGTAGATACACAAGAAACAGAATGGCCAATTGATCATTCGCCTAATCCGAACTATACGGATAATTTGTAGCAAGCTTAGGAAAATGTATATTTGAATAATCCATTAAAACCCAGAAAAAACTAAAAATTGCACTTCTTAATTAAAGAATGAATAACATAATCGATTATTACCAATTTATTCTCAGAACAAATTACTACATATATAGATAAAAACAATAAATATATTATTAATTTTTTTTGTATCATATTTGTTTCAATANAGTGGGGGGGAGGGAGTTCTTACCGTCAGGTCGGCCAGGGAGGGAAGGTGGAGACGTCCGAGGGTGGAAGAGGGAGACTTGGTGGTCCGCAGGGGGCTGATGATGGTGGACATGGCCCTGCTGAGGCCCCGCTTGGTGGGAGTCTTCTTCATGGACAGGGCTCTTCCCAGCTTACTTTTTGTTTTTGAGGCTAGTCTTAAAGTAAAAGACAACCCTACTCTATCATATAATGTCGACTTTTACCGAGGGAATGGGAAAATTCGTCGGAAAGACGAAACGGTTTGGATTTTAAACCGTTATTTAAGTTTTACTCACTTGATGGCTCTGCTGAACGTGTTGCCGGTTTCGCTGACGTTGGCGGGAAGTTGTTCCCGATTCAGTTTGACCATCAGATTTTCCTAAAAGATTAATTTTACGGGTTATTAATAGTAAATGCCTAAAATTAGAATGCTTTACCAAAGATTCCGTTAAGATAATGTTAAGAAATACACCGCATTGTATCGTCTACCTACTCGTGCCGTAACGATGCCGCACGTACGTACGAACGGGCGGACTCTTCTACCAATCTCGCACCAGCGAAAAGATAATCTGGAATCGAAGACTATTTTCCTCTGTGATCCTTGGTGATCCGTGCACTGCGCGTAGTGTGACCGAAGAAAATTTTCGGCTTATTAAAATTCGTTTTATTGGAAGCAAACGACAGAGATGGGCACTAACGGTTCCCAAAAGTACTCTGTTGTTGCCTGGTTAAACGAATGTGTCCATGGGACGAAACGTTACAGATAATGGCTTAATATTGGGTCTGGTCCGGACCCAATATTAAGCCCGGAATGACGTATATCCAAGAAACCCAGTCTAACGTTTTGTCCCACGGGTGAACTATGTATTTAAATGCCTAATATGAAGAACGAATGTTATTTTTTTTAAATCATTTCCTCAATTCCTTTTACCTCTATGTACTTAATGTTTTACTTTATTTTTGTATTGTCTACTTGGACCTTGTTTATAAATAGGACTTATTATACAGGCGTAGTTTCTGACTAGAAAGAGAAGAAGTTTTAGTCGAAAGGTAAAACAAAATATCTTTATTTTCACCCCATATTTTGTTTTACCTTTTGACTAAGACTTCCTCTCTTTGCTGGTCAGAAATTACACTGGTATAATAACTCCCATTTATAAACAATGTCCAAGTAGATAATATGAAAACAAAAAAATAATACCATTTCTTCAAATTGACTATTTATGTCACAAAATTAATTTTGTTATTGTTAAGCATCGGTTAGTTAACTATTAATATATAATTTTACCAGACTATTTTATTTATCAACACAATTCCGACAAAGTAACATTTAGTTTGGACAAGTAACTATTCCCTTTCTCTATCAAGATTAGATGAAACAAAATTGTAAAAAAAATAAAGCTATTTTGCCAAATATTGTATATTTAACTGATACCAAAATACTGATAAAATCAAAATCGACAGGATTTCATCTACGGATCCAAAAATATATTTTGAGTGGGCTTGTCCTTACGACAAACGGTTCGACTGCAGAATCCGACAAACTTCTGTTTATTTACATTATTGATGGTCAAAATTTTGGGTTTAAGCATTGTGTTAATATTTAATAAACTGCAGCTATTACAGAATTAGAGAATTACAAGAACTGAAAATGAAAATCTTTCCTTGTATTATTTTTCTCTTTAACACAAAACGAAAGCCTTTCTAGTACAACAAATTCAGAAAAATAGAAATTTCAAAGCTAAATTAAACAAATATAACAAAGGACCATTTTATTATTTAATAAATAGATTAGTAAAAATCTCAATTTTAAAATCCAAATACAGTAAAATATAGCATAATTTAAAACACTAAAAAAATTTTTTTAACACAAATTACTTCTTGTGATGACTCAGTAAGAAGAAAACCTTTCATATGGGAAATTTATTATTTTTTCTACAGAATAAATGGCAGATTCTTTCAATAAATGGACCGAATCAATCATGGCAGTAAGAACGAAGGCGTAGGGCCGTCAATCAAAATGCTATTAACGTCGGGACCGTCACTTGCTCTTCTATTATTTGATTCCGACGTCGTCAATTTATTTATTTTCATAAAAATTAATGATCCTGCACTGTTGGGACAATACCAAAATATATAAAAAGTAGCAGGGGATTGTGTTTTGTTTCAAGAAAATTAATTTCAATTCAAAAAACTGAAATTAATTTTTTTTAATCTATAAGATTGTTTATTTACTTGTCACTTTAAATTCCCAAGTGGACGAAACCACCAAGTACAGGTAGTCGGTTGTGGGTCTTATCCCATCAGTCTATCAATCAATTGTTCTAAATTCTGAAGTGTGCAGTATGCAAATTTATGTATTCTAATCATTTCTATATTATATCATCATCATTCACATCCTTTATGTTGTTTAAAAACCAACTTATCGACACAACTTCAAAAATAAAAAGATATTTTGTATTAATTATTATCATTTAATTTAATTGATTTTTGTGAACTTTATCTTAACCAAGGACATTAATTAATATAAATGATAGGTGCAGTCATACATGTCAGTATATGAATGCTTAAAAACGATAAATTTAACTTTAGAATAATTTCTTAAGTGTAGGAAACAAATATAATTTTACATTTGTGTTTCATTATAAAGGACACTGTAAATTAAAAATAATACTTACGGAATCTGCCCGACAATGTACATTCGCCATGCAACGACATAATAAGTATAGAAAATCATTTTTGTTCATTTTCTCTGACAATAATATAAATTTGCATACTCGTTCTTTCAATTCATCGTTTGTTCTTATGATCAGTGCAAATGCATCTTTACATTCTGAAAATACAAGTAATTTAAAGTTATTAACTTAAAAATTTACAAATAATCTTAAATATCTACTCATTTTTAACCAAAATAAATAAATATCCATAGTCTCGTAATGTAACACTTAATGCAAAAATTAAAACACCATTTTTTGTTAGCAATCAAGATCAAGAGTTAGAAGCTAACCAATAACTACTAAGAGTACTTATTGATTCATGCAGTAAAAGTAAAGTGAATGGTAATTGGTTAACTTCTAAACTTGACTCTCAATCCTTGGTCGTGAATACGACCATATAAAAATTGGAAAAAGTGATTGGTTTTTATAGGTTATCTATTCATAACGCATTAGAAAAATGAGCAAACAAGCAAAAATCTTTTCATTTGGGAGAAGGTCAACAATTTCTTTTTCTCTGAAAAAAATTGATTCTATGTATTTTGGAATGCCGCAATAATAGCGTGGCATTCCAAATATTACAGCACTACCAATCATCATATAGTGAGTATGGAATGTGTCCCTAAGGGTTATCAAAAGGTTCTTTCACAATATTATTAAATTTTTAATGAAAATTCCTACAGTTTCCAAACTGGTAACTAGCTTTTGTAATGTCCCATACTTTCTCCTTAATTAAAAAATAAAATTTTAGGTTTTTGCTGCTTGCACAAAACTAAAATATTTGATTATAAAACAGAGTGATACAAATTATTTTTGAATTAAATTGTTTTAAAAATTTTCTACAATGTCAAGGGGGCAATTTCAAATTTCTCCAGCAACACTGGGCATCTCTGCTAGTAATTGTCATTTCAATCAAATTCAAATGTAAAACTATCTCAAAACATTATAGAGACATGTTGTCCTATCCTTAATGTCTAGGATTGATGATGCATCATAAAAATGTTTTGGTTTATTGTTTTCTAGCATTAAACAATAGTTTTAAATTATAAAAAAAGGTTATGAAAACAATTTGGAGAATTTTAAGAAATTCTAATACAATCATTATACACATCCAATAATGATTTAATTTATTCTAAGTTTATGTGTAGACCAATGTTCCCTCTAATTTTTTTTGTCGATGAGTCAATTAGTCGGACCATTTGTAATGGCCACTCGGGTGACATTGATATTAAAGTCCTCTTGGCACTCGTGGGGCAGAAAAAGTCAAAAACGGAAAAAGGAACATTCTTATTTTGGAATGCAATTTATATTTTATTCATAATATTTTATAGTTGAGCAAAAAAAAATTTTGCTGAGCAGATTCTGAGCAAAAAATTTCTCTGATCATATATAGCCTATATAAAATCTTATTTTTTTCTATAAAAATTAAAATAATTAATTATAAAGTAGAGATTAAAATTAATTTTAAAACATACTTTTATACAAAATATTATCTCTTGTCAATGATTTAATGTATTTAATTGAAATATACGTAGCAATAATCATGTTGCAGACAGAGTGAGAAATAAGTAAACAACAATTCAAATCGGTGTGCATGNACCTTACGTGAAGTTTATCTGGTTTAAACTGTACGCCATTTCAAATTTTTAAGATTATTTGCATTAATATATTTATGTTGGGTTTAGTTTTCAAATTTTTATTCTTCAGTTTATCATTCTAGAAAATATATAATCCACATAAACAATTTTTCCCACATTCTTGCTTGACTAAGAGGGCCTTTTCTTCCATACCCATCACAGACCTACAATGAAGGTGGCCAGGCAACGTGAAAGACAAGGTTCAAAATATCTGGGACTAACCACCTGTGAAAAATTCAAAAGAGCCGCTCATGGAAATTGAACCCTGGCACCTGGAGTGGTAGGTCAAAGTCTTAACCATCTTGCCCTTATCACCACCAAATATTATTTTTGTGGTTTAAATTTTTTAAATAAATTTTTTTTTGGTTTGTTTACTGATATTTCTAATATTTTTCTATCTGTTATATTCAAAATAATGAAACATAAAAACCAAAATGGCAAGCAAATGATTAAAAAAAATATGAATTTTAGTCAATCTATTCTCAGATTTCAACATTATCCAAGATTACAACAAATTGCATCTTTTACATAAATATATAAATATATGTTGACAAATTCTAATACAAAGAAAATACATTTAATTATTTTCTAAACATAGTAAGGCATTTTATAACAAAAAGACTTCTTACTTTTAAAAATGCGTGAAATCTCGGTTTAGTTTGATCACAATGGATTAACACTTCCTTAGTTTTTTCAAAATAATTCACAAATGGTGGATAAGCTTTTAAAAAGTCTTGAGACTATCAGAGGAAAAAAATAATGTATTATAACATGTTATATATTTTAAGATAGTAATAAATTAGACTTACGTATTTGAGAATAATATTTCCAACACTTTTATCTTCTTTCCAATTTTGTAATAAAATATATAAATCTTCGCGCAATTTGGTATGTACTTCGTACAAAGGTGGAATGTTTCCGAATATTATTTTCAATTCGGTTCCGTCTAGTAATGCTCCTCCTACTTGATCGGGTTGTTCGAGAGGTTCTTTAAACATCTTAGTTTTATATACAGATTGAAAAAAAATTAATAAAATGTTTATGAAAATAATTTAAATAATAAATCATATATTTGTGATATTCTTAAGATTTTTATAAAATGTATGGCATTACTGCAAAATTTCTGAAAAAAATTAGACAATCCATTTTTGATTTATAATACTCAATAGTTAAATTATCAAAGTTCTGAATATATACAGGGTGTTTATAAATAAATGGTGTGGTTTTAAAAATTAATAATAAATCTATTTATTATCTTATATGGGCAAACCTTACAGCATAAGCAGCGGCAACTGGCCAAGTTTTTTATGCATTAATCACAATCCTTCAATATGTGCACCCATGGTCACACGACACACATCTACACGGTGATCAAATTCTTCCCATACGCAGTGTAGCATGTCCTTTGTGATGTTCTACAATGCATAACAAGCGAAGAGTGGGTAGTACATAAAAAATTTGGACAATTGCAGCTGCTTATTCTGTACGGTTTGCCCATATAAGGTAATAAAAAGATTTTTTATTAATTTTTAAAACCACACCATTTATAAACACCCTGTATATTTATTTATTCTCATTGCACCACATGCATGCACACAAACAATTGTAAATTAATGAACAACCTCAAGTTGAATAATAGTGTGTCTAAAGAAAATTTTTAATTATATTATTATTTATTATTTGAAATGTAGTATTTGATGGCAATACGAGCCATGTATTTACCGTAACAATAGTTTTCAGAATACCAACATAATTAGTTTCGGTCTGCAATAATTCTGTACAAACTTGCTGCCTGGGTGTCATAAGTTTATAATCTGCAATGGGCTTTAATGGACTTAAATGAGAACTTTCTAGAGGAGAACCTATAAAATAAAAAGAAAAATTTGTGTATAAATGTCCATAAATACATTTTTTTTTATTCAACAAAATGTAATCTATATTTCTGTTATTAAATATTACATAAAATCACATATATAAATAATTTAGATTAAAAAAAAATAGCATTAAAAAAAAAATGAGTTGCCTAACTTTCCTAGCTGCTATGAGATTTTATTTTAAAAATCACTTCTTAGTTATTAAACAAATAAAATTATACATGATACCATCTATTATGAGATTTTGTTATAAAAACTTTGCTATTTTATAATAATTAAAATTATATAAAGGACTTAATTTTGAGGGTAGAGATGAGTTTTATAAAGGTCTGTAAATGCTAAGAAGTAAAATCTTCATTAAGCCAACCCCACATGACAAATGACACAAAACCACTATCTCCCCTCCTCAACCTTTCATCACCGAAATTTAATAGCATCAATGACCCTTATACATAAGCTTCTATGCTAAATTTTGTTTCTTAATTTTCACTCCATTCTGAGATATTAAACAAAATAGATGCCAACACACACACACACACGGATATTTTTTATTTTTTTGGAGTTCAGGGGGCCTCAAAACATGGAGATTTGTAAAAAACTAGAAGGATATAATTTGAGACGATTCCGATACTTTCCCTTGTTAAGTATACATAACCAGGAAAATAAAAGAACTACAACATTACCCTAAAAATAATCCTTGTATAATTAAACCTAATTAATATATACTGGAGTGTGACAGTAATACATGACAAATTGTATTCTTAATTTGGAAATATATATTAATGAATCTTCAAATTCCAAGTGGTGCTTTCAGATATTAGCAATAAGTTAATCTTCAATTAATTCTCAGTACTACTAACTAATATAATGCAGCAATTGACTTATTCAATAGCATATTTAAAACTATTGCAACATACGATCCAATTGAAAGATAACAAAATCAGATAAATTTGTTATAAAGGTTGTAAATTTCATGACTATCTCTTAGCACAGAGATATTTGACTAAAAAAATTAGAACTAGCAATTATAATGGGCAAAAAATATTAACAAATATCAAAATTATAATCACATTAAAAGTTTGGCTATTTTAGGTCAATTTTAGGCTGTGTGTAATATCAAATATCAATGATATAATATCTAAATCATCAATTGAATGCAATTAAAAACTCTCTCTATACATATAATTTTTTAAATTATTATTGGAAAGTACCTAATTTAAAATAAATTAGTAGTTAAAACAAAGCATACCTATTGAAAATGAAACGTCCGGCGAATATATACCATCAAATGTCGACGAATTAATTGTGGAATTATTTCCATCGGCATTTTGTAATTTGGACGGCTGCAGTGAATTTTCTTTATCCAATGATAACAGATAAGTAGCATCTCCAAGTTTCTTTCTTTTAGGGTAATGTGATATTGCTGGAGATGGCATGTGATGAGCTGCCTGTTCTTCCTAACATAACAAATTGTGTGAATTAAATCATTAACAAATATAATTCACAACAATAAATACAAAAAGAAGTAAAAATCAATATACTCTGTGTATCTTTTTTTGTATAAAAGTTTCTTATAATTTCAAAATCTTTTTAGACTTGTTTAGTTTAAACACCGATTTAAATGAAATTTTGTTAAAAATGTTTTTGAATATGAAAAATAAGTTATCATAAAATATTGGAAGTATGAAACCCAACCCTGGCTTCCCAAGCAAAACGAAATGGTGTAAAATCAGCTAAATCAAGTAAATTTGATGGTACCCAAGAAAGCATCTGGGATCTGCAATTATTCATGTTGGATTTCCTACATTAAACAAAGATCATACAAACAAAAAATGAATGGCAAATGACAATACGGCAGACTCTCGAGTATTGGACTATAATAAAAATATCAATCAACTGGTAAGTGAAATATTAAATTAGGATGATCTCAAATCACTAATTATCAACCTCGTCAAATTTATAATATATTTGTCAATATTCAGGCAAATAAGTGAAATTGAATCCAAATCAATATCATCTAAATATATAAAATTGCTTGTCCTGACTGATTCATCATCGCCCAGAGCAAACCGCTAAACCTAAAGAGGTGAAATTTGGTACACAGTTAGGGTACGTCATAAAAACATGCACTAAGAAGAGATTTTTTGAAACTCCCCCGCGGGGGAGAGGGAGAGGATTAAGGCTTAACCAGAAGAATGGCTTCTACTGTATTATTTTAGATGCAATTATTTTGTGTTTATCTGCGTTTTAATAGGGTATGTCATGGAAATGCACACTAAGAAGGGATTTTTCGAAATTCCCCTGCTGGGGGAGAGGATTAAGGCTTAACCAGAAAAACGGCTTCTACTGTACTATTTTAGATGCGATTTTTCGTTTTCAACTACATTTAGTCTTCATTGAGTATTTAGGTGTATTAAATTGATAAAAATATTTTTAACAATGTCTGAAATGTTATCAATTTCTATTTTTAAAATGTTCGAACCGTTTTAAATTCAAATTTGTTATTGCATATTGGTTTGATTATAGAACGATTGTAAATGTTCTAGAAAATTGATCAAATTAAAAACAGTTCGTTTGATTCTCGGCAATTCTCATCATTCTCAGTGGTAGATGTTATATAACAATTACTACGGTTGTTGAAATACTGAGTATAAATGGGGTTTGCTTGCAAAATCCTCGCAGGCAAAGCCGCAGGTAACAGCTAGTTAGTTAATAAAGCTATCAGTTTGTTAAGATAATCTAATATATAAGTAGAATTTTGTAAGTTAGTTTGTGGCAGAACTTTATCTGTTTGAGACATTTGTAGAAATGTTTGTGTTGGCATTGAATTTTGCTTTCTTTCTCTTAATATTTTTTGAGAAATTTTTCTTGTTTACACACTTTCCTACAAACCTGTTCCATTGTATTTTATTAAAAAAAATTTGTGAAAGCCCAGGAATTTCTTTTGAATGACCATAAAAATTCATTTTAGCAAACAAATCCACGACATCCCTGTCTACATATCCTGCTGAGGTTTTTGTTAAAAAATGTATCATTATTCCAAGAACTCATCAGGCATGCACACACTCATTGCTGAAGTGTTTACGAGGGAAGGAAGGAACTAAAAGTACATTAAATCTTCATCTAAAAAAGCACGGTTAAAAACCACATCAATAAACATTCATCACCTTGACACAAGTCTGTTACAACTACCTGAGCATTACAAATTTTATTAAAAAACAAATATTACATTAGCTAGCAATTAGTCAACACCTGTAGTTATCAACTAACAAAACACACATGGAGTTTCTAAATCTGTTCAATGCTTTCTTAAGGTAATCCAAACATTGCCAAGCACATTAAAAAAAAATAAAAAACATATTTCTAGTCAATTTCCTTTTCTTGTTTTTCAATATATATAAAACTTAAATTCATACATTATTAAACTGCTTATATATTTCTATTTACAAAATTTTGTTAATACAATATCCCCTTGTTATATCGCACTTGTCGGGCGAGAAAGAAAAAAGTGATATATCTGGCGGCGAAATATAACAGAGTAATAAAAATCTGGGCTTATACTAAACAGATGATACAAGCTATGAAAACTCTATCCTGCATTCTTTCATCGGCAAGTGTTTCTTAATATACAATTGAAAATTTAAAAAATAAATATTGAACATACAATAAAACTTCAAAACTTATAAAATTACAAAAAGTAAAAACTCTCTAAAAAGCAAAGTTAATACAGTATAAAAATGTCAGAACTTTCTGTTCAGAAATAAAGAAATTTTTTTCTTATACATTTTCTTGTAGATTTGAAATTTCACACCTTTACGTAAATTGACCCAATACTGTCAATTTACAAAAATGTAAAATTTTGAATTCACAGAAACTTGTATATGAAAAAACAGTACTTAAAACCAACAAACAAATAGTGATAATTGATCTGTCCACCTGTTTTTCTTATTTAGATCTTAACAAATTTATTGTTTCATCTGCAGTGGGAGTTTCGAGGACAATGGTAGGAAGAAAATACCGTATTTTGCTGCAAAAAAAAATTCAATGGAAATTGATATTTTAAAATTTATTGACTCAAATGCTTTTAAAATTTGGGAGACCAAGAAAAGCACTACATATCTGAATCCGCAATGTAACAAGGGGCTACCGTATAAGCTAAAATTAATAAGAGAAGCCATACTTTTCTATTATGGAATTTTTTAAAATCATATCATCATTCCCGGAAAAAAAACCAGTTATTAAATTCAATGTATAATGTATAATAAAAACTATAGTTTAAAAAACTGCATTTGGCAGAAGATAAATTTAATAGTTTGTAAGATTTAACACACTAACAGAACAAACATTTCAAGTGAATACTTGATAAAAAATTAAAGACATTATAGCTCACTATATATGGAGATTTAAATATTAATTCATATATATATATATTTACATGTATTCACAAAATTTTTAAATATAAAAAATTTACCTGTTTAAAATTATAAATTACTTCATCGGCACAAGCATCCATTTGTATACTGGCCCAAAACCACTAAAAATAATTGAAGAAAATGTTAATAATAATCTCCTTTCACAGTAATCTCAAATGATAAATTTTATATCAATTAAATATACATTTTAAATATATAAATTTCCCAAATAATTTGATATCTTTTTATCATAAAAATTAATATACAGTAATGTGTGTATAAAAATTATGTACAGCAAAACCCGTGTAAACTGAAATTGCACAACACTGAATATTTTATCTGGTGTGACAGGTTTTTGCTCTGAAAAGTTCTTCAACAGAAAAAAATTGCTCTGTTTCAAAGAATGTTATCAATTTAGGCATGTTTATATCTTATTCAGATTTTACATTAATTAAAATCCATTTATTTCTCATCAATTCATTAAGAGAATCTTAAAATGACATTTTTGTTTATTGGTCATTTAAAAAAATATCACTCAACAATATACATTTCTTTGACTCTCTCCATCCTTTGGACACTAAGAGGCACCCTTTCTTAAATCATACCCATTATGGATTTGACCCCAAATGCAGCAACCTGTTGGCGAGGAATGAGACCCAACATATTCCAGATAAACTTAGAATTTTTTGGAGGTGGTCTAACTGCTTTAATTTGATCTCGGATTCTCAGAGAAGTAGGCTGATGCCTTAAATGCTTCAAGCATTTAACATTTTAACAGTAGTAAATAGATTTATCATGAACATGTTTTAATTAATTATTTTTTTTTAATTTAAAAATTTCAAAAAGTTAAAAGTGCACAAGAAATAATTAAAATAAAATCAATAATAATAATAATAAAGATTTAGCATTAATTAAATAAAGTAATTAATTATTTTAATAAGGTTTAATTTTTTTTTAATAAAGAAAATTTTTTAAAAATGTTTCATAATCAGGAACACTTGAAACTAGCAGTATTGATATTTAAACTGGCTGTATAAACTGTTCCATCATTCTTTAAATGTCCATACACTTTAAAAAAAACAAAAAAGTAACCTATAGATGAACAGATGGCTGAGGTTGTAAAGACATTAGCCTGTCAATGTGGAATGTGGGTTTGAGTCCAGATCAAAATCTGGACTCAAACCCACACTCCAGGAATTTTTAATGAGTCCTGTACAGTATATGTTAGGCCCTGCTCTACATAAAATTAAAAACGGCCTCTTAGTTCCCTTGAGTTGGAAAGAAACTACAGAAAAAGACTAATTTTGTAAGTTTCAAGCACTCTTGGTATATTTTTATATTGTAATATGTATTTTCTTTAACAATTATATATATGAATTATTATTAATTTACATTTAAACAATCTATGTTTATTGATTACCTCAGAAGTTACTAAATGGGTTTTATGATTCAAACAGTTAGATATACTTTCGGGAATTTCTGTGCGCTCTTCTAAAACTAGATGTGTGCAAGAATGATCAATTGTTTCATGTACTTTTCCACCTTAAAAATAATAAATAAGATGAATATATAAACAGTTAAGAATTAATTTATATAGAAATTTTTTATATAACAACACACAAGAATTTTAAACAAAACATTTGAATCAAATATTTTTAAGTTTATTCTAGAATATAAAATGTACAAATTTGATTATAGTTTATAAAGCAATTGAAATATATATATTTACAATTAGTTTTACTATTAATTGATAGTATATAATCGCAATTTAATACATTTTTCAAGTCATAGTCAGGATAAATGAAATTGTGATTTACCTTCTATTTTATACAAATATTATAAAGTAACATCAAATTAAAAATATTAATAAGAAAAATAAAATAAAATTTTAATTGAACACTGATGATTTCCTATTCAATTGTATGTCAATTAAAATTTCTCTAACTTATTTCCATGTGCCATATAACGATAATACTGTATCTTTAATATTTCTAGTACACTTCACAAACTTTTTTCTTGTACACTTCACAAACTTTTTTCTTGTACACATTTTAAAATATATATGAAGAGTATATGAATGGAAATTACTGTACATATTACATCATATTCTAATAATTATCAAACTGTAGATTTTCAGGATATAAATATGAAGGAAATTGACCAATGAATAAAATGAAACATTAAATACAAACTAAAGTGCAATTAAAGAAGTGCATGTATTTTGTTTAGATTTTAATCAAATTATACAAACTTGCATCTATTAATACAATAAAACCTGAATTTCATATCAATTGACAATTTAAAAAACACAAATGATATAAACAGAGGACCAAAGAACTAACTTGAAAACAATGATGATAAAAAAATCCAAGGACTACAAATATATAACAGTATCCCTCATATAACATGGTAGTTACATTAAAAAAAAAATGCAGTGTTCTGCAAATCCATGCTATATAAAACAAAAAACTAATGCAAAACACAGGGTTAAGTTCCAAAAGTTAACAAAAGTGTACTACAGTAGAGCGTCGTTTATCCGAATCAACTGGGGACTGGGGTTGTTCGGATAACTTATTTTTCGGATAACCGATTATGTATGAAGAAATACATTAACCTCTCCTGTGTTGAAATTTTTCTCCGTTGCATGTCGCTTTGCATTGAATTTTCGTCGATGTTAAGCCTAATATAAACTTTTTAAAATAATAATCATGGCTATTGTATCATTAAAAATTATTTCTTTATTTTTTACAAACAAAATAAATATATTGAAAAATATAAAAACAAAAAAATTTATACTTTAGAAGAGATAACTTCTAAAGTATAAATTTTTCAATATCAAAAACGTTCGATTCAGGATGACACGCAGTATCATCCTGAATCGAAACTAGTATCAAAAACGTTCGATTCAGGATGACACGCAGTCCTCAGAAAAACACCACACAAAAGTGACAGTGCTGCCAGCTAAAACACAGACACAAACATAAAAAATATTGGAGTAGCCCAAGATATAGGCAAAGATTGCAGTGCCACAGCACTAGCAAAAATTTAAATTTGCCGACTGGAATTCTTTCGGATAACCAACCTTTGGATAAACGACACTCTACTGTATTCTTTTTCGTTACAAAGGAAATAGAAATATGTTTATCAAAGCAATTGATAATTTATTTCCAATCAATAATTAATTTGCAAATCACAATTAAAAGTACTCTATTACACATTAATATTAATTTTAGTTGAATGAGGGTATTTCTTTTTACAAAATATTGTCATAATGCCTTTTTATTGACCTTGATCAGCATTATTGGCAATATTTTTATATTTTTTATTTTTATCATAAAAAGTTTTTATGGATAATGAAATAAAAGTATGTTATTTATTGAAAATTTATTCTAGCAGGTTGCATTTGAGTACAGAGATACCGTCATATTTCATTTATCATTTTGTGAATGATTGCTTACCTACAGTTAAAAAAAATTTAATAGTGTTTATCTAAAAATGTTTAAATAAACTACTAAAGATCAAAGTTAATTTACAAAAACAAAATACAGTGACAATGTTAAAGGTTAAAGTTTGAAAGCAACAGCAACAACACCTAGTTCATAGGAAAGGTAGGACAAGAAAAAATTATACTATCAGTTTTCATTGAAGTAAACCTGATAAAAAGGCATAAAAATAATTTGAAAATTTCATATTCTAAAATTCGTGGACAAATTTGAGATGACACATGTGTTTACTTAAATAAAAAAATATCAAACAACAAAGTTTACACTTAAAGTGTGAAATTTTGTACAGAGGATTCCAAAATAGTGTTAGAGCAAAACTGGAAGTCTTGTTGTATGGGAGATATCCCCAATTTTCAAACCATGTTGTAGAAGTACTGTTTCATACTAGGATACTCATATATAGTAGTCTCACTAATCTGGCATACCCTCAATTGTAAGGCATGACTAACATTTTTCTATTTATTTGGGTTTCATTTGTGCATAAAATATTTCATGTCAGTGTGCCATATTATTTGAACATCTGGCATCTTCATGCAAGGAATGGTTGATTAGTGAAAGTCTACTGTACGTATTATGTAATATTGATGTTTGATAAATATACGATTATTATATTGTTATAGAATTTTATTGCTTTTATATGTTGAAGCTTTATTTTGCTTAATTACTATTATAAAATTATTATATTCTGTAAGTGTAGATAGATCAAATAAACCTGAAAAGTTTGCAGCAACAAACTTATCTGCACCAATTTTCGCAAATGTTTTATTTTAGTTATTCTATTGATTCCTACAAAATTTCTTCAATAGTTCTCATAGATTATTGTACTTCAGAACCTACTCATAAAAAATTAACTTTGATCAAATTTTTACAATTTCTTACATATTAACAGAAGATATTCCACATTTTAATTATTAAAATTATGAATATTTGAATATCATATTAGAATGAAGCATTATTGCGAATTGAAATCATGATAACACTACAATTAAGATAAAAAATGTCATCAGATTCCACTGATGTGATAATCCACTATATGTCAATAATGTGCTCATTCTAAAATTCTTAAGGGTAATTTATAGAAGAAACAAATTATAAATTAACTGTAATCATTATAAATAGAAAGGAAATGCTATAATTAAGAAAGTAAAAAAATTACAAAAAATCTTAGAAATCATCAGTATGTAATTTAACAAATTTCTATATTATGTACTGACATTCTGCAACAAAATGCAAAATTATTTGATATATTTAACAACAACATTTCCAAGTTCTTGTTATTTTGTTTGCTTAATTTTAGTGATTATTTTTTGTATCATATTCCTCGAATCCAGAATTAACTATTTCAATTTAATAGTTCATCAATCAAGCTCCAGATAATCCAGAATATCACGTAATCTAACATCCTCTGAAGAGCAGCAAATAATCCAGAACTGTCTGATAATAGTCTGGTTTGTTTGGAAACATGGCATGCTAAAAACAATTTAGTCTACATTGTATTATGCCAAATAAACATTGCTCTATTACAGCAAGCACATGCTTTGTATTTAGTAACATGTTTATTTTTTCCTCACATGCCAATGTGAAGAGAGCACAGCAAAAAAGTCTCTTATACTCAGAGCATGTTTAGTTTTTGAAACCATATATACATATATATATATATATAGTACATCTGGAAAATATTATATGCATAAGATTTATTGTGAATATTGACTTTGTGCAGAATCTGAATGTTGAAGACATTCAGATTGCATACAACTTACCAAATTTTTCTAAAATATTCAGTAATCTAATACCATTCTGGTCCCTTCGTTGCCAAATTGACAAACTTCTATTATGCTTAATATAACAAAGTTATATAAAATTTTACTTGCCATTCTGAACAGCAAGTTCTTCCATATGAAGTTTCTCATCATTCTTAAATCCCAAAAACGTTATATTACATCCACAGAATGGCTGCAATTTTAATTTCATCTGAAAAATTATTATTTACAATTTAAAATATATTTAAGTTAAATAATTTATTATAGTTTAAATATTAAAATATAAAAAATTATTTTGAATCTTTAAACAGATCTGAAGAAGTTTAGATTAGTTATTAATGAATTCCTAAATATTTCAATAAACCTAAGCAAATCACAGAGATGCAAATGAAAACATTAAAATTCATTAATAATATCTCCTGGTTTATTTAGAGCTGTAATATTTCTGTCATATATGCTGGAAAATACAGTATTTCGAAAAATATACAAGATACTATTATCATGTACCTACCAAGTTCTCATCATTTATAAAATTACTTAAATCTCTTCTCCGTGACCACATTTCATATATCCATTGTTCTTTCATTATTGGTGTGCCAAGACTAACGGCATACTGAAATTATAAGAGTTTAATATTTTAAAATTTAGTTACTTAATTAATATAGTCTTTAAAGGCAGACTTACCCCATATTTTTCTCCAAGTGTTGAATTAGCAATAACATGAGTTATCTTAGAACTAAATTCTTTTTTTACGCAGCCTCCCATGTGATGAACTAAAGTAGCCATTTTATTCTGAAAAATTCAAAAATGCTTTTCTTTAAATAATNGGTAGAGATGAGTTTTATAAAGGTCTGTAAATGCTAAGAAGTAAAATCTTCATTAAGCCAACCCCACATGACAAATGACACAAAACCACTATCTCCCCTCCTCAACCTTTCATCACCGAAATTTAATAGCATCAATGACCCTTATACATAAGCTTCTATGCTAAATTTTGTTTCTTAATTTTCACTCCATTCTGAGATATTAAACAAAATAGATGCCAACACACACACACACACGGATATTTTTTATTTTTTTGGAGTTCAGGGGGCCTCAAAACATGGAGATTTGTAAAAAACTAGAAGGATATAATTTGAGACGATTCCGATACTTTCCCTTGTTAAGTATACATAACCAGGAAAATAAAAGAACTACAACATTACCCTAAAAATAATCCTTGTATAATTAAACCTAATTAATATATACTGGAGTGTGACAGTAATACATGACAAATCGTATTCTTAATTTGGAAATATATATTAATGAATCTTCAAATTCCAAGTGGTGCTTTCAGATATTAGCAATAAGTTAATCTTCAATTAATTCTCAGTACTACTAACTAATATAATGCAGCAATTGACTTATTCAATAGCATATTTAAAACTATTGCAACATACGATCCAATTGAAAGAGAACAAAATCAGATAAATTTGTTATAAAGGTTGTAAATTTCATGACTATCTCTTAGCACAGAGATATTTGACTAAAAAAAATTAGAACTAGCAATTATAATGGGCAAAAAATATTAACAAATATCAAAATTATAATCACATTAAAAGTTTGGCTATTTTAGGTCAATTTTAGGCTGTGTGTAATATCAAATATCAATGATATAATATCTAAATCATCAATTGAATGCAATTAAAAACTCTCTCTATACATATAATTTTTTAAATTATTATTGGAAAGTACCTAATTTAAAATAAATTAGTTGTTAAAACAAAGCATACCTATTGAAAATGAAACGTCCGGCGAATATATACCATCAAATGTCGACGAATTAATTGTGGAATTATTTCCATCGGCATTTTGTAATTTGGACGGCTGCAGTGAATTTTCTTTATCCAATGATAACAGATAAGTAGCATCTCCAAGTTTCTTTCTTTTAGGGTAATGTGATATTGCTGGAGATGGCATGTGATGAGCTGCCTGTTCTTCCTAACATAACAAATTGTGTGAATTAAATCATTAACAAATATAATTCACAACAATAAATACAAAAAGAAGTAAAAATCAATATACTCTGTGTATCTTTTTTTGTATAAAAGTTTCTTATAATTTCAAAATCTTTTTAGACTTGTTTAGTTTAAACACCGATTTAAATGAAATTTTGTTAAAAATGTTTTTGAATATGAAAAATAAGTTATCATAAAATATTGGAAGTATGAAACCCAACCCTGGCTTCCCAAGCAAAACGAAATGGTGTAAAATCAGCTAAATCAAGTAAATTTGATGGTACCCAAGAAAGCATCTGGGATCTGCAATTATTCATGTTGGATTTCCTACATTAAACAAAGATCATACAAACAAAAAATGAATGGCAAATGACAATACGGCAGACTCTCGAGTATTGGACTATAATAAAAATATCAATCAACTGGTAAGTGAAATATTAAATTAGGATGATCTCAAATCACTAATTATCAACCTCGTCAAATTTATAATATATTTGTCAATATTCAGGCAAATAAGTGAAATTGAATCCAAATCAATATCATCTAAATATATAAAATTGCTTGTCCTGACTGATTCATCATCGCCCAGAGCAAACCGCTAAACCTAAAGAGGTGAAATTTGGTACACAGTTAGGGTACGTCATAAAAACATGCACTAAGAAGAGATTTTTTGAAACTCCCCCGCGGGGGAGAGGGAGAGGATTAAGGCTTAACCAGAAGAATGGCTTCTACTGTATTATTTTAGATGCAATTATTTTGTGTTTATCTGCGTTTTAATAGGGTATGTCATGGAAATGCACACTAAGAAGGGATTTTTCGAAATTCCCCTGCTGGGGGAGAGGATTAAGGCTTAACCAGAAAAACGGCTTCTACTGTACTATTTTAGATGCGATTTTTCGTTTTCAACTACATTTAGTCTTCATTGAGTATTTAGGTGTATTAAATTGATAAAAATATTTTTAACAATGTCTGAAATGTTATCAATTTCTATTTTTAAAATGTTCGAACCGTTTTAAATTCAAATTTGTTATTGCATATTGGTTTGATTATAGAACGATTGTAAATGTTCTAGAAAATTGATCAAATTAAAAACAGTTCGTTTGATTCTCGGCAATTCTCATCATTCTCAGTGGTAGATGTTATATAACAATTACTACGGTTGTTGAAATACTGAGTATAAATGGGGTTTGCTTGCAAAATCCTCGCAGGCAAAGCCGCAGGTAACAGCTAGTTAGTTAATAAAGCTATCAGTTTGTTAAGATAATCTAATATATAAGTAGAATTTTGTAAGTTAGTTTGTGGCAGAACTTTATCTGTTTGAGACATTTGTAGAAATGTTTGTGTTGGCATTGAATTTTGCTTTCTTTCTCTTAATATTTTTTGAGAAATTTTTCTTGTTTACACACTTTCCTACAAACCTGTTCCATTGTATTTTATTAAAAAAAATTTGTGAAAGCCCAGGAATTTCTTTTGAATGACCATAAAAATTCATTTTAGCAAACAAATCCACGACATCCCTGTCTACATATCCTGCTGAGGTTTTTGTTAAAAAATGTATCATTATTCCAAGAACTCATCAGGCATGCACACACTCATTGCTGAAGTGTTTACGAGGGAAGGAAGGAACTAAAAGTACATTAAATCTTCATCTAAAAAAGCACGGTTAAAAACCACATCAATAAACATTCATCACCTTGACACAAGTCTGTTACAACTACCTGAGCATTACAAATTTTATTAAAAAACAAATATTACATTAGCTAGCAATTAGTCAACACCTGTAGTTATCAACTAACAAAACACACATGGAGTTTCTAAATCTGTTCAATGCTTTCTTAAGGTAATCCAAACATTGCCAAGCACATTAAAAAAAAATAAAAAACATATTTCTAGTCAATTTCCTTTTCTTGTTTTTCAATATATATAAAACTTAAATTCATACATTATTAAACTGCTTATATATTTCTATTTACAAAATTTTGTTAATACAATATCCCCTTGTTATATCGCACTTGTCGGGCGAGAAAGAAAAAAGTGATATATCTGGCGGCGAAATATAACAGAGTAATAAAAATCTGGGCTTATACTAAACAGATGATACAAGCTATGAAAACTCTATCCTGCATTCTTTCATCGGCAAGTGTTTCTTAATATACAATTGAAAATTTAAAAAATAAATATTGAACATACAATAAAACTTCAAAACTTATAAAATTACAAAAAGTAAAAACTCTCTAAAAAGCAAAGTTAATACAGTATAAAAATGTCAGAACTTTCTGTTCAGAAATAAAGAAATTTTTTTCTTATACATTTTCTTGTAGATTTGAAATTTCACACCTTTACGTAAATTGACCCAATACTGTCAATTTACAAAAATGTAAAATTTTGAATTCACAGAAACTTGTATATGAAAAAACAGTACTTAAAACCAACAAACAAATAGTGATAATTGATCTGTCCACCTGTTTTTCTTATTTAGATCTTAACAAATTTATTGTTTCATCTGCAGTGGGAGTTTCGAGGACAATGGTAGGAAGAAAATACCGTATTTTGCTGCAAAAAAAAATTCAATGGAAATTGATATTTTAAAATTTATTGACTCAAATGCTTTTAAAATTTGAGAGACCAAGAAAAGCACTACATATCTGAATCCGCAATGTAACAAGGGGCTACCGTATAAGCTAAAATTAATAAGAGAAGCCATACTTTTCTATTATGGAATTTTTTAAAATCATATCATCATTCCCGGAAAAAAAACCAGTTATTAAATTCAATGTATAATGTATAATAAAAACTATAGTTTAAAAAACTGCATTTGGCAGAAGATAAATTTAATAGTTTGTAAGATTTAACACACTAACAG